TTGTTATGTGGAAAGTGCCAAATGTGAGTGATAGGCTATGAAAACGTTATTGCACGTTTTCTAATACGAGACAGTATTTGTTTTTTCGCTATAGAATATAAAGACCATATATGTTGTTTAATGGCCCATTATGTTAGTTTTTTTATAAATTCATACTAGAGTTGAAATTTCGTAAATTATATTGCATTACTCATTTTCAGATGCAGTATTTTGTTTTGATTTTGGACAATAAACAGTTTGAATGTACGAGTGCTTTATTTGTTCAAACATGTAGTATATTAGGCTAACAACTGATCAGTAATAGCATTTCGGAAGTTGGTAGCTTCAGCTTCTTAAAGTATCGTCGGGTCAAAATTGACCCGACGATACCAGTTACGTACGTAAAAATGACGCTACCAGTTAAGGGTTAAAAGAACATTAGTTAAACTTATCTGTAGAAGAATTCTGGTATAAACTGGGTAATATAAAAAATTTTAATGACGAGCCTGAATACCCTAATGTTTGCAATTTGGCAAAAATGTGCATGGCCCTTCCACACAGCAATGCCCAGACAGAAAGAGTATTTTCTGTAGTAACAGATACGAAAACAAAAAAAAAAGAAACAAAATAGGAAATGAATCATTAAATACCGTATGTGTTACAAGATTTTCGTCTGATAATTGCTGCCAGTCATTTAAAGTAACTAGTGAGCATCTTAAACTAATGAGCCAAAAAAATGTGTACTCAAAAGATTAGTGGCAAGTAATGTATTATTTTAAGTTAGATAATTAAGAAAATTCCGTTTTTTAATCTAATAAAGTTTTATTTTTAAATGTAATTTTTAATATATTTTTTTTAAACAATATTATGAATTCAATATGTAATACAGAAAAAATTGGGGGTGGCGAGTAGACAGAAAAAAGAGGGTAGACTTAGAAAATAAAAATCTAGGGAATTCTGGGGGAAAAAAATAAAATATTAGGGATTTTTAGCAGAATTCGTCTGGCAACACTGCGATACAGCCAGTCGAGATTGAAGCTTTGCATGTGGGCGGATAAGGTAGACAGTGACGTGATGAGCCGACGAGTGTTGCTCTTTTGATGTTTGGTTCACGCTAATGACTCAAGTTTATATTGTAATCTTCACTACAGCTTCTTTTAAAAATGAGTAAGAGAACCATAGATCAGTTTTTTAAACCAAAAACCTTAAAAACGGACCCGGAATCAAGTGACAAAGTGTTAGTTCCGCTGTTGCCACGAAAAATAGAAGGAACCACTATTGGCTCGATAGAAGAAGAAAGCATTACGTTGACTCCAGATCCATGTTGTTCATCGTCTTGTGACCAATCCAGAAATAGTAGGCCTACAGATTCCCAAGTAAGCATTGGCCTAACCTCTGTAGATATTGGCATAGTTTCCGACCATTTATTCCACTCCACAACCAGATTTGGTAAAACTACGGATTTGAAAAGTAAAGTGCTGAATGACTTATGTTATCCGGATGAGAATTTTAGCTTTCCAGTAACCGTGATCAACAATAAAAAATTAAAGTTTCAGAGGACCTGGCTAAAAAGGTTTAATTGGCTGGCTTATTCTAAGGCTAAGGATGGAACTTACTGCAAGTTTTGTGTGTTATTTGCCAATGAGTTCACAGGTAAAGGCCAACACCAAAAATTGGGAGCCTTAGTAACCATGCCTTTTAGAAAGTGGAAAGACGCAATAGATAAATTCACCTCTCACAGCAACTCTGAGTACCACAAATTTTCTTGTCTAGCTGCAGAAAACTTTATGAAGGTCGACTCTGGCCGAATGGAAGATATCACAGTGATGTTGGATTCGCAGAAGAGAAAAGAAAGAGAACAAAACAGAGCTTCACTCAAGCCTATAATTGACACAATTATATTATGTGGAGAAAATGAAATACCTCTTCGGGGACATCGGGACAGTGGGCCACTGACGCCCGAAAAACCTTTAGAAAAGGAGGGCAAATTTCGAGCCTTACTTAGGTACCGGGCAGTCACCGATGAAAGTTATAAAAAACACATTTTTAACTCTGCACGAAATGCAACCTATATAAGCCCTGAAATCCAGAATGAGATTATTGTCATTTGTGGAAAACTTATACAGAAAAAAGTGGTTCAGTCTGTAAACAGTGCAGAGTGTTTTTCCATTTTAGGAGATGAAACGCTTGATGTGTCTGGGAAAGAGCAGTTTTCACTTTGCATTCGGTACATTTTGAATGAAAACAAACCGATCCTTAAAGAAGATTTCATTGCATTCACCCACATAACAGATTTGTCTGCTGAAAGCATTTATGAAACTATTTTAACAATTTGTGCAAGTGTAGGTCTCAAAGGGATAAAGTCATTGGTCAAGGGTACGATGGTTGTTCAACGTTTAGTGGACATTTGTCTGGCGTACATCAAAGATTTCGGGAATCACACCCCAAAGCTATTTATGTGCACTGTGTTGCACATCGTCTAAATTTGGTGTTGAGTGACTCCTTAGACATGCCTTACATAAGGAATTGTTTGGGAACTATAAATGAAGTGGCCAATATGATGAGAAATAATACTCAAAGCGGTGATATTCTAAAGAGGTATATTGAGAATCTTGTGCCAGAAACTCAAAAAAGCCGCCTCCTTCGCCTGTGTGATACAAGATTCATCGAAAGACAAGATTCTGTCCATACATTTGTCGAAGTATTTCCAGCCATAGTTGCTACTTTGGAAGAGTTATCTACGTCCAATAGAGCAATATCGTCTTCAGCTGCCGATCTTCTAGCCTCTATCGAAAAAGGAAGTTTTCTCGTTGCAATGGTGGTGTGTGAATTCATATTCAGCATCACCCTTCCTCTTTCAAAATATCTCCAGAAACCTGAGAGTGACCTGTCATCTGCCCTAAAATTTGCTGATGACACGGTTGAACGTCTGAAGGATTTGCGTAAACCATCCGAAAATGGAGACAGCAGTGATATCAGGCAATTCCATCGGTTATTTGAAAAGGCTGAAAAAATGTCTCAAGATAATTTTAGAACAGCAATTGTTGTGCCCCGGCTAGTGGGGAAGCAAACTAAAAGAGACAACCCCCCTTACTCTACTCCTGAAGAATATTATCGTCGATCAATATTCATACCATGTGTAGATTCATTGATTTCTAATTTGGTTGAGCGGTTTGGGAAAAACAGAGATATTTTGGAAGCTCTAGATTGTTTACTCCCAAAGAATGTAAAAGAAACAAACATTCACAAACTGAAAACACTGAAGCTGTTCTACGATAGTCAGTGGTCTGATTGTGAGGTCGAGGCAGAGTATATGCTGTGGAATACAAAATGGAAAAATATACAAGAATCTGAAATTCCTAAGAAAATCATGTCGGTTCTAGATGCCTGCGATAAAAGCTTCTACCCTGCTATCAAATATTTGCTCCAGGTAACTATTTATTATTATACAACTAAGTAGGCATGTATAAGTTTATTTTAGTACTTTTTTACATTATTGAAAAATATTCAAATCAAGACGATTTATAACGACAAATAGTGAAATGAAATATTGATCGAAAATAAAACGGGAAAACATTTAATAATCCCCAACTGACTTCTAGCCAAAACTAAGAGAGATCAAATAGAACTTACAACAAATAACTTTTCTATTGTAGGTGCTTGCTACATTACCAGTTTCAACAGCAGAAGTAGAGAGATCATTTTCATCTCTCAAAAGAACTAAGAGCTATCTGAGGAATTCCATGAATGACCAACGATTAAATGGGCTTGCTCTTCTGTCAATTCACTATCCAGCTCCAATCAACAGTGACGAAGTTATCGATGAAATGGCCAGATATGGAAATAGGAGATTAGTGCTGTAACTTAGGGCATCATTTTGTTAATTTATTCATTCGACTAATCTTAGAATGTTATAAAGACATTCTAACTAAAATGCTCTACATCTGTTGTTTTTCCAGCATTACTTATGGTTTTTAAAAAGTTTAAAGCTCCGGATAAGTTACAGCACTATTTTTATGTTTATTTAGTTAAAACAGAATTACTACTTTTGTTCATCATAAAATAAATAAAAATATTAAGAAAACCTGAATTTCTAAGAAGTTTTTTCGATTATGCAGTGTTAAAATGGATTTAAGCCATCTATTCCTTACCGTTTTTAAAAAAAATCCCGGACCCCCCCCCCCCGAACGAAGTTTCTGGCTACGCCACTGGGTAAAGGCGATACACAACCTGAGCTGGGACATGCACAATCTATTGTATTGAAATTGCTGGAAGATGTAAATCCAAAAGAAGGACGAATATTATATGCTGATAATTTTTATACCGTTGGTTAAAACATTACTTGATCAAAAATGTCTGTATTGTGGCACACTAAGATCAAACCGAAAAGGAGTTCCCAAAGAATTCACAAAGAAAAATAAGAAGGGTGAAGTTATTGGCAAAGAGAAAAGCAAGATAATTATTAAATGGGTAGACAAAAGACCTGTTTTTATGATCACGACACATCCTGCTCATAATGCTACACTAGTACCTACAGGTAAGGACAATAAGGTGTCCGGGGGTATTAAGGCCCAGGAGGGTAATAAGGCCCATAGAATGTTTAACGAAAACAAAATGAGAAAAGTGCAAAGTGCTGCCATCTATTAGCGCGTATGTTAACCTGTATACGTAATCAGCTCTGGACATGGCGAATACATATTTGGCAGTTGGACTTAAAAGTTGGTTGGGGAAGTTGGCGTTGTGTAGATTTTATAAGAAATCTGTTACTTTCGTTGTTTTAACGTCTACATTAGAGTGTACGTGTATACTCCAAATTGCAGGTATGTAGTTAGTGACTATTTAGAACCTCTCTTCTAAGTTTTCAAATTGATTATTGATAGTTTATGGTGTTTATAGCCTAAAAATGTAAAACCGTGCGGTGCGGGTGATAAAGCCCACCGAATTCTTGGCTGGGCCTTATGACCCGCAACAGTAATAAGGAATGGTAATAGTGTAACATTTGTTTTTCTCGCCTTTTATAGAAATGGGGAAAAATGCCGTGGTATGCGTGCTAATTGGACGCAGGAAATGATGGAGGAAGCAATGTCTTTGCTGAGAAAAGGTGAATCGCAAAGGTATGTCGAGCAACGATGCGGAATACCAAGAAGAACACTACGCAATCATATGAAGACTGGCACCTCCATACGAAAACTGGGTGGAAAGGCTATCCTTACCAGTCAAGAAGAAGATGATTTGGAAGAAAAAATAATTCGTTTTGCCGACAGAGGATTTCCCCTGACACCAAAAAGGGTTTGCAGGTGTGTTTACAAATATGTAGAAGACAAGAAAATACCACATAAGTTCAATAAGGACAAAAAAGCCGCGGGCAGAGATTGGTACAGGGCTTTTATGAAACGACACCCCCGTTTATCACTTAGAAAAGCAGAGTCTATGAATCCGGCGAGGGCCCAGAAGCTGAACCCAACTATTGTGAACGACTATTTTAATAAATTATCGAATATCCTGACTGAAACTGGACTGAAGAATGAACCATCAAAAATTTATAATATGGACGAGAAAGGGTGCAGATTAACCCTCCATCACCAACAAACTGTATTGGCTCAAAGAGGAGCTAAACGTGTTCATCTTGTAGCACCGGAGCACGCAGAAAACGTAACAGTAGTAGCATGCGCGAATGCTTTAGGAAATGCTATCCCACCCATGATCTTATTCAAAGGTCAGAGGTTGAAGCCAACTTTTAAGGACGGTTTACCTCATGGTTCTGCAGTAGCGATGACACTCAAAGGAAGCATGACAACCACAATCTTCATACAATGGCTAGACCACTTTGCAAAATATATGTCTGAACGTCCGGTTCTCTTAATTTTCGATGGGGCTGCTTCACACTTAGACGTTTCAATTGCAGACAAAGCACAAGAACTGGGCATACATTTGCTATGTTTGCTTAGCAATACCACCCATGAGCTTCAGCCCATGGACAAAAGTGTCTTTCGTTCCTTCGAGCACTTTTGGGATGAGGAACTTCTGTCATACTGGGATAAGTACCCAGATAGAAAACTAAACAAGGAACGCTTTTCGGATGTTTTTACTCCTGTCTGGGGAAAATGCATGTCCATAGATAATATTGTCAGTGGTTTCCGAGCTACTGGAATCTATCCTTTCAATAAGGAGGTGATTCCTTTGCATGCTTATGCTCCCAGTTTACCAACATACCGTCCACCTGAAACGACGACAGCGCAAAATACTGAAAACAATATCCAGGAATGGGAACCGGAAGATTATATTCCTTTAGCATTATTACAAGCTACAGCTAGGGAAAATAGAACAGATAAGGCTTCCAATTCATTTACACAACACTTGATCACACCTGGCAAGACAACTGAAGTCACTAAAGTCCCCAGAAAAAAAGCGCTAAACTATAAAGCGCAAGTAGTTACAAGTTTTTGAAAGTAGAAAAACCGATTCAGTGCAACACCAACCCGATCCAGTACGTGTAACTTCCAGTAGCTGCAAATCAGCCGCACCATCACAAGACCAAAGGCAATCGTCTACTAAAGAAAGTTGGTTTTGTGTTGCCTGTACTGAGGATTTCATTGCAGATATGAGAAAATGCATTCAGTGCGATAACTGGGTGCATGAAGAATGCATTGGTATGACGGTTGAGGACGAAGAAGATGTCGTATGACCAAATTGTACTCCATAAATTTGTACATCATGCTATGGGCTTTATCACCCAACACTGTTGATAATGAGGCCCAAATGACAAAAATTATTCGAAGTATTTATTAAAGAAGTACTAATGTTATTTTTTCTTTTTAAAACACTACAATGTTTTATTACTGATTGTTATATTCAGTTGAATAAATATTTTCCACATTTTATTGATGTGAATTATTTGTATACCTACATTTCCCTTAGGTGGGCCTTATAACCCCCAGATACCTTACAATTATTTTCAAAAGATAATTTTTATAGGAAAAAAAAAGCGTAAAGAGGAAGATATATTGAAACCACAGTGTGTAATTGATTATAATTTGGCGAAAAAGGGTGTCGACTTCAGTGACCAAATGTCCTCTTATCATACTGTTGTACGTAAAACACTAAAATGGTATCGGTAAGTCCTTTCATACCTAAATATATAACATTTAATGTATAAGTATTTTTATTTTTGTTTTTGCAGCAAAGTTATGTTTGAATTACTACTGGGCACGACTGTGGTGAATTCGTGGATTGTTTATAACATGGTTTCTGACACAAAGCTGAGCATTATGGAATTTAGAACACAACTAGCTAAAGATCTAGTAGGGGAAACCCGTCTAAAGTGGATACCCCAGGCAAAGCGAATAGTCCCCACTACTTCCAAATTTTTCGTTGGCCGGCAGCCGCGCTGTCAAATCAAGAGTCGCCTGTTGCCGCTTAGTTCGCGGAAATCACTTTGGCGCGAATTTGCGTAGCATGCCGCCATTGAGTGGACAAAGTGTGTTTCTGTACCAGAAATATTAATTTACAGAGGTAAGTGTTTCGCTTATATCTATTATGTTTTTGGTGGCATGTTTTTGTTTATGCAGGGGATTCAATGCATGGTTATAGAGCTTTCAACTATGTGTAGTTGATGAACTTAGATAAACTGTTTTTTTTATGACCTGGCATAACCTCAAAGCTGTACCCGAAGGGCAAAGCGGATCGGGCAAGGCGGATACTGTATTCACTTTGCCCGGTCATGGCGTGTAATATAATTTCATACAATTTTATATTATATCAAGTATTTTTCTGTTACAGATGGTGAATAAATATAAAAAAAAGACGACGCAAGGTACTTGGAGTAGAGACGTTATGCAGACTGCAATAAATTTATGTAGGGCTGGAGAATCTATTAAAGGGACAGCCAACAAATATGGACTTGCGTATGCTACCCTTTACAGACATGTCAAAAGTGGAAACGCTTCCGCACAGCTCGGTCGATTTCGTCCTACATTCACGGAGGATCAAGAAATTGAACTGGTGACATACCTGCAAGATATGGACGCAGTTTTTTTTGGCCTTACTCGGGATGAATTCATGAGTCTAGCATTTGAGTATGCACACCGCAACAATTTGCGTTACCCTGAGAGTTGGAATAAAAATAAAAAAGCTGGAGAAGAATGGCTGCAAAGGTTTTTATCACGTCATACCAACTTGACACTAAGAACTCCAGAATCAACATCTGTAGCGAGGCTGAAAGGATTTAATCGCCGCGAAGTGAGCCATTTTTATGAAAATCTTGAATCTGCCATTGAGAAAAATAACATTGAAGCCTCCAGACTATACAATATGGACGAAACCGGAATATCAACGACCTCAAATAGGCCTCCAAAGGTTATCTCCGTAAAAGGGAAAAAACAAGTGGGTATGATTGCAAGTGCAGAACGCGGCCAATTGACAACCGTCATCGGGTGTTGTAATGCTGCTGGCAGTTTTCTTCCACCTTTCCTGATTTTTGCAAGAAAGAAGATGCAAGCAAGGCTTCTTGATGGTAGTCCTCCAGGGACTCAAGCAACGTGTACTCCTAATGGCTGGACATCAGGGGAAGTCTTCTTGAACTGGATCCATTTTTTCGTAGAGCAAGTGAGGCCAACAGCAGATAAAAAGGTTCTACTAATATTGGATAACCATGAAAGCCACAAATATTATCCTGCACTTGAGTATGCCACCAAGAATAACGTGGTAATATTATCCTTAGCACCGCATACTACAAACAAAATGCAACCTATGGATGTTGCTGTGTATGGCCCACTGAAAACGCATTTCGAAAGGGAAGTTAACATTTTCCAAAAATCTCACCCTGGCCGCATCATTAATCAGTACGATGTATCTAGATTGCTAGCACCAGCTTATCTCAAAGCTGCCGTGGCCATCAATGCAGTGCATGGATTTGAAAAACCTGGGATTTGGCCTGTAAACAAGCACGCATTTGGTGATGAGCATTTCACACCAGCCGAGGTACTTGCAGGTACATCCACTTTAAACTGTCAAGCTGGAACTTTGGCCCCAATAGAAAGCATTGATTTACCCGAGTCCGCTGTTGAAGCGTTACCTTCGATTGAACCTCAAGATCAGCCCATATCACCTTCATTTGCAAATGCCACTCAACATTCTCATTCATTCATAAACCCTATTGAAGGAGAAACCTTACAGACTATAGAATCTGTTAGTTCTTTACCTATTGCGTCATCAGGTGAAGTTGTTGCTTTAGGTGATTTTCAGTCTCAAGACGAAGTAAATATATATATTGAAGATCGACCGTGCACTCCTATTAGATCTGAAACTAAAAAAGAAAGCTATGGCAATACTGTTCCCGCCGCTTCACCCGAACCTGGATGTTCTAAGACCTACTATAGTCCTTCAGTTTTGAGACCTATTCCTCAGCCTGCTAGACCAACAACAACACGTAAACGGAGGTTACAAAGATCTAGTATACTGACGAGTACTCCAGTAAAAGAAGAGCAGAAACAGAAATTTGAAAAAGGAAAAAAGCGACGAAAACTTCTCTGAAGACTGGTAACAAAAAAACTGTTAAATCTAAAATCACTGATAAAAAAGCAAAGAGGAGTGCAAAAGAAAATGGAAATCAGAAAAAAATACGGAAATTTGATGATGTCAGCTGCATTTTCTGTGGTGAAATGTACATTGAAGAAGATGATCAGCCAACGGAAAACTGGATACAATGTAGTATTTGTACTCAATGGTGCCAAGAAGAGTGCTCAGCCTTCGAAGGCAGTGACGATTTTGTTTGCGATAACTGCAAAAATTAGAAACATGTTATTTTAAATATTTTTTCCTGATTTTCAAGGTTTATTTCCTTTGTAAGTTTAATTTCAAGCCAAATAATGTTGCTATTCGCTTTGCCCTGGTATCATATTCACTTTACCCGGAATCCCGGGCAAGGTGGATAGTTAGTCACTCTTGTTAATTCGATTAATAACTTTTAATTTAATTAATATTTAGGAAGAATCTTATACAATTCCGTTAGTCCTTTAAATAAAGACTGCTTATAAATATTTGTTTTAATTTCCCCGGTTATAACTAATCTACAATAACCAAAAACAGCTTAAGGTATTCACTTTGCCCGGGTTTCCCCTAATAGAACAAGCGGAAGTCCCAAGGCAGCCAGTTCCATCAAGAAAGAGGCAACACACGTTCGTAAAACCTGAAGGTCCAAGGAAGAAAGAAGAGAAGACCATGTACTGGATGTTACAAAAAATTGCGAATAACTATGACGAGTCGCGAGGCTGACAAAAAAGTCCGACGTATAATAAGCTGCTGTGAATAATGCCCAAAGAAGCCGGGATATTACCTTCAATGTTTCAATGAAACACACAATTAAAATATCTTAGTTCATTATTTTCTTTCTGATTATACCCAAGAAAAAAGTTTCAATATACCAATCACAAGTCAAATACTTTTGTTTATAATTTTGTTTAGAAAAATGTTTTATTTTCAAAAAAAATTTCAATGAAACTTGACTTTTATTGTTGAAAATTTGTACTCATCAGCATGCGATTCTAGACCCCGGAGATATGTACGACGTGACTCCAAGATGGATTGATCTATCCTATAAAAGATTTCTACATCAAAATGGTGAAATTTTGCACCATATCTTACAAAGATGGCGCTTAAGTATATTTTTACTAAGGTACACCGGGTTAAGTGTAAATACGGGGCAAGTGTAACCTATGCCAATTTGTGGTCTTAAATTCTATCATAATGGCGCCATCTATGGCCAAGTAGGTTTATTATGATACCGGCTAAGCATCGCAATAGATGTCTTGCGCGCTAGCAAAACGAACGCTTCATCACATTTCGTTACTTAGTGTGTTTGCATTTACAGTTGACGACGCAGTTCTGTAGTCTCTTATAAAAATCTCTTTGTATTAAAACTTTGACGACTTTTCATCGTAATTTCTGGTAAGCACTCCATTAAAGGTATTATCTATTAGTAAATAAACTTATCTTTTCTGAATTTTAAAGATTTTTTTTTTAAATGTTGTGGTTTACACTTGCCCCAAAAAAAACTCCCTTGGGGCAAGTATGAAATATGGTAGGTTACACTTGCCCCAATAATTCTATTACGTTTACACTTTCCCGTTGTTTTCAGAACATGGTCCGGAATTACATACGTAAGAAAGCTCCTCCAGCCTATAGCAAAAACGATTTGAAAGAGGCAGTACAAGCTGTGCAAAGAGGTACTCTAACATTATATAGAGCTGCATTATTGTACAAAATACCCAAAGCTACTTTATTTACTCATGTAAAGGGTAAACGGGGTATAAAAAGTAATACGTTGGGTAAGGCACCAGCTCTGCCTTATAATGTAGAACAAAAATTTTCCAACAGTATTAAAATACTCGAAAAATGGGGTATGGGACTATCAAAGAGAGAAGTTCTTCAACTAATTGGGCGGTATGTGAAAGAAAATAATATAGTAACCCCTTTCAAGAATGGAGTTCCTGGCAATGATTATTTCGTCAGATTCACGAAAGCATTTCATTTAAGCCAGAAAAAACCGCAATCTGTGGAAGTGGCTCGAAAGAGGTCTATGGATCCATTTGTTATGTATGATTACTTCAATATCCTCAAACAGCATATTGAAAATATCCCAGCATCGCAAATTTATAATATTGATGAAACCGGTTTCTGCCTGGATCCATCCCAGATAAAAGTTGTTGGAGAGAAGGGTAGAGCAGCCCATAGGACAACAAGTGGTCCAGGACGAGAGAATATAACAGTTCTCCTTGGGGGAAACGCTGCAGGTGAAAAACTTCCTCCACTCGTAGTGTTCAAGGGTAAACACATATGGAATAGTTGGATTCCAACTGCCAACTGAGGAATACGCGGGAATGACTTATTCAGCCACTAAAAATGGGTGGATGGAAACGGAAACCTTTCAAAAATATTTTGAAAACAATTTTTTACCAAATATTGGCAAAGACAGACCTACTGTATTAATTTATGATGGTCACACGTCTCACATTAGTATTTCTTTGATAGAAAAGGCAATAGCTAATGATGTGATTATAGTGAAACTTCCGCCTCATTCCAGCTATCTGCTACAACCTATGGATTTATGTGTTTTTAAGTCATTAAAAATGGCATGGGATGCAGAGCTCATAAAATGGCAGAGACAAAACTATGGTACGAAACTACCAAAACCTATGTTTTGTACCATTTTATCAAAAATCTGGTCACAAGTAAACCCTTCGTTACTTATCAAAGGATTTGAGAAAGGGGGGATATATCCTTTTAATAATGAGGTCATTCCCGTTGAATATTACGATCCAGAAGCATATAAAAGGTGGTGTGATTCAAACTGCAAAAATAACAATCCGGAAGAAGCACAAGTAGCGCAACCAAATTTACGATCAACATTAGAAGAGCGTTTTAATTTGCCATCCACCTCAACAGTACCACCAATAACTCCGCAGACATCGTCAGTAAATTCAATAAATCCGGAAATGCCATCGACCAGTTCAGAACACCAGAATCCGCCAGTTAACAACACAAAAAGTTTTGAGAGCATTCTCTTAGAACAGCTAAAACAGATGCCAAAACCAGCGAAATCGATCAGAAAGAGAGTATGTATAGGTGCCGAAGTTATTACATCCTTGGAAGCAGTTGCTAAATTGAACGAGAAAGCAAACAAAATAAAAAAACTACAACTAAGAAAGATGGTAAAAAATTGAAAAGAAAGCAAGTATACGAAGAAGACACAGATGAAGATAGTTTTGAAGAAGTGGAAGTCAATACTTCAGATGATGATTTTGACTTAGACAATGAAGTAAATGATTTGCGTGAAGAAGAAGAATTCGTGAAATACCAGGAGAAAGATCCTCAAGAACTGAAAATAGGGGACTGGATTCTAGTAAAATTTGCTACTAAAAAATCATTTAAATTTTATGTAGGGCAAGTAACAGAAGTAGAGCCATGTTTAGAAGCAAAATTTGCAAGACGCTCGGGATCTTCATCACAATTTCATTGGCCAGATACTCCAGATGTCTCAGTTATAAGAAGAGATGAAATACAACACTGTTTGCCTGCCCCAGATATTCACAGAAGAGGACACTTCCATTTCAACATCACATTTGAGCAAAATATATCCTAAGTGATTTTTCATAGTAAAAAATCTGATTATATTTAGTCTCTTCTTTTATTTACACTAGCCCCAATCAAGTCTCAACACTTTTGTAGTAATTCAGACAACGTATTTACACTTGCCCCAATTTGCTGGGGAAGTGTAAACCATTATTCTAACATGAAAAAAATAATTTCTAGAAAAAAATCTATACTGATTTTGTTTTGTGTTTGTAGATTTCGTTTCTACATATACTTAAGACTATACTCTCAAAATTTCAGTGAATATCATAATTAAAAATAGGAAATACAACGCGAAAAAGTTGAACTATTGAAATTTTGGGTCACACTTGCCCCGGTGTACCTTACATATCTCCGGGGATATGTAACGCACAGCAGTAAAGACTCTATTACTATACTCCAGCGATATGTACCGCTGTCAACGCCAAAGTACGGATTATTAGTCCCGCAGTCAACGTGTTAAGTGAATTTTGTAAGAAGGATGGGATAGTATTAGTCGGACTACTGCCTAATTCTATCCACCTTTTACAGACATTAGATGTGGCCGTTTTTAGACCACTTACAGCCACGTGGCGTAATGTGGTTCATGATTTTAGATCTAAAAACGAAGGGGCAAAAATCAGAAGACGCTATTTTTCAAATTTGGTTATAGCATGTTTTGGGAAATATCGAAGAAGAAACTATAAATAATGGATTTCAATGCTGTGACCTTTTCCCTTTTAACTCCGAAAGTATTAATAACAGTAGGCTCATAAAAAAATATATACAAGAGCAGCAAGAACCAGTTTGTAATAATACAAGAGATCAAAATGAAACAGGTCAGACATATCATCATTTTAAAGAACAGCTGAAGGCTCGTCTACCTCTAGCAACACTTGAATTGTTCAAGTCATCGGGCGACACATGGAATGGAGATCTCACTTAAGAAAAACTATTTGTTTTCTGGATGTCTCTTCAGGATAAACCAAATGTAGAAACGGACATGATTTTAGATGATACCACAATAACAAATAATATTACCGAAAATATTAACGACTGACGAAAATGCTGGGGATACCTTAGAAGCTCAAGGAGGCGGCAACCTTTCGTTATGTAATATTAAATATGCTGAAAACTGCAGTTTGTCAGGACCATCGGTTAAGGAAGTCATTAAAAATAGTAAAGCACTTAGAACAACAGAAAAAAACCTTTAATACCATACATCACCTGTGAAAATCTTACCTCACGATAATATTTTAATCGAAGAATACCACATAGACTTAGATGCTGTGGCTGTGGCCACAACCGAAAAACCTAAAGAAAACTCCATGCTGCCAGTAGGGGAAATCCTAGAAGAACTTATGTCTTTTAAAGTATCAATGCCGTTTAAAAATACGTTTTACTTCCCTAAGAAAGTGGAAGATTCGGTAAAGAAAAGAGCTACGAAAAAAATTACGCCAGTAGTAGCAACCTCAGATGAAATTCATGGAGTATCAGATAAGAATCGAGGCGGAAATATAGAAGAAGCAATATGAGAAACAACAAAGAAAAAGTAAAAAAGTAACAAATCAATTGCCGAAGAAACGAAAATTAAATCTTGAAGATATTTCTGAAAAAAACCGTAAAAAAGGAAATAAATACGAGACCAAAGATATTTCATGTGAAATTGTACCGCCTGAATTAACAAACAAGCAGGGGGATTTAAACCGTTCAAAAGATGAAAGAATTTAAAGAAGGTCAACCTAGTTTTTCATAGATGCAGTTATGTTTATATAAACTATTTTTTGTGCTTATGTAATAACTATTTATTTTACCCAAGTTAATAAATTTCCTTACCCATTTAAATACCTACTTGTTTTATTTCCGTAAGCGGTAATAAGTGACAAATTTTTTTCAAAACAAGCTTATGGCAATAAACCACTAACTCGATTTTTTTGATTCCAATAAAATGCTATAGCACAAAGATTGTTTAAAATATCCATGGAATAAATACAACACCAAATAATAATACCTTAACTGCGTTAAGACGTTTTTGGGTAGTACTCTCCGCCTCCGTCTACGAGAGAGGTGGGGAGGGTGCCGTCTGACTCGTGATCGTGAGATCCTAGCATTATTTTACCAGTTGTCGTTATGGAGCCTTGGACGGTGGAGCACCGCGTTTTCGCCTATGATTGTTTCGTCCGAAATAATGAGTGAGTCATCGTCGTACAGCGTGAGTTTCGTCGCCACTTCAACATTAGCGGCATTCACACGTACACTCAATCACGCGTTCTTGGAACGTCCCGCTTCAATCGCGCGCGAATGAACGTGTGTGTGAACGCTAGAGGTGGGTCGGTATTTTAATACCGCGATATAATCGCGGTATTTTTTGGGTACGTAGCGTCGCGCTTTATTACCATCAAGTAACCGGTTACTCAGGAACCGAAGGAACTGAAGGCTCGTGTCCACATGCAAGTAACTTATGATGTCGATTCGCGCCCGGCCGCAATCCGTTGCCTTGGCCTTGGAGGACAAATACGACAAAATTGCAACCCTGTCAAATCGCGGTATTGGCGCGACGGCGACGGCTGACGGTGCTTATATTGTTTTGGTTATGTTTAGACGAATAGACGACAGGACAGTCTTAGTTTTTCGTTCTTGGTTGTGCGTTAGAAGCATTCGTACATTTGATTTTAGCACAAGTTCGTTTTAAAATTTCTTGGCTTCAACAAAATATCTTGCGTACAAAAAAAGTAAGTAAATTTGCAACGTTTTAAACACTACAGACTAGGCATTATATGCATATTATAATATAATATAATTATAATATGCACATAATGATGATGTAGGTGTTCAATTATGAGTATTATTTTTAGGCCAGATTTCTCAACATGCCGCGAAAAGAATCAGCAAAAAAATCAGAAATTTGGAACTTCTTTGAAATGAAACCTAAATCTGACAGAATTGCCGTTTGCAATATATGTAAAACCGAATTGAGTTATAAATCCTCCTCCAACAATTTAAGAAAACATATGCTAAGGAAGCACCCACAAGTTAGATTGAATTCAAGTGAAAATGAGACTAGACCAATGATTAGTTCGGCGTCTGAAGTAGATACTAATGTGCAATTCATGGAAGTACATACCAACAAACATGACGGCGAGCTTTCGTCAACTTCGGGAACAGCATCAACGTCTAGTAGTAATCCAAAAACCATTATTTCCAAACCGGCTAAAATGCAATCAACAGTTAGTACATTTTTACACAAGAAATTGGGAGTAACTGCCCGAAAAACAATTGATGAGGCACTAATGCTACTTTTCACCCATGATTTTCAACCGTTTTCCATTGTTGAAGACTTTGGATTTAGAAAATTTGTATCAGCGCTTAATCCATCATATGGCTTACCAAATAGAAAAACTATAACTAATACACTGTTACCGGCAAAATACGAAGAAGTCTACAATAACACCAAAAAGGAACTTGAAGGCGTAGATTCTGTGACACTGACAACAGATTGCTGGACATCATCTACTACTGAGAGTTTTTTGGCAGTTACAGCTCATTTTCTAGACAACAAGTTTAAACTAAAACATAGGGTATTGGGATGCGAATCATTTAGCGAGAGGCATACAAGCGCCAACCTAGCTAGTGCCATTAGAAATATTCTTGTCGAATGGGATTTGGAAAACAAAGTTTTAATATTTATTTCCGACAATGCTGCCAATATTAAAAAAGCCATAAAAGAAGATCTTCAGCAAAAACATTTTGGTTCCTACGCCCATACAATTAATTTAATTGTACAGAATTCATTATAATCAGTTTTCGGAATTTTGAATAAAGTAAAAATGGTAGTAGCCTATTTTAGAAGGAATTCTGCAGCTATGGCTAAGTTTTTTGAACAACAAAGGCTTTTAAAAATCGATCCTACAAAAAGACTCGTCCAGGATGTAGTTACTCGGTGGAATGCCACGTTTTACATGATTGAAAGATTTGTGGAGCTCGAAGAGACAATTCGTACAACCATGGCTCTAATAGAACATGACTTACCAGTTATTTCCATCGAAGAATGGCAATTTATGAAAGAGCTTGTGGAAATACTTAGGCCTTTGGAGGACGTCACTAAAGTTATGAGTGGACAAAACTATGTCACTGCATCGTCTGTGATCATTTTGACTGATGGACTCTTAGATATTTACAAAGAATTGCAATATAAAGAGTTCAGCACAATTTCAAAAGCTGTGATATTTTCGATTATAGATGGAATTAATTCTAGATTAGGAAACCTGGAAAGCAGCAATTCGTTAGTTATAACAACATTTTTAGACCCAAGGTTTAAAAATATAGCATTTTCTAATTACGATGTAACGGAAAGAGCTAAAAAACTTATTACATCACTTATAACAGGCAAAATCAAAAACAAAAATGATTTATCGGAACAAGCTCAACAAGAGGAAGAAACTGCCCAAGTGGAGAAGAAAAAGACTGAGACATCAATATGGAGGAGCTTTGACAAAAAAATATCCGTACTTAAGCCACAAGGTTCAGCTCTATCAAGAGCCATCATCAAGAGCTTCAGCGCTATTTGGAAGAACCACCAATATCTAGAAATGGCGACCCGTTAGAATGGTGGAAAAATAATTCTTATAATTTCCCTCATTTAAGTGCTGTAGTAAAGAAAACAATTATGGTTGTTGCTACCTCCGTCCCGTGCGAACGGTTATTTTCTAAGTCAGGCATACTTTTATCAGATCGGCGAAATAGATTGAGCTCAACCAAAGTAAAAAAACTACTTTTTTAAACTCTAACCAAGAGTGAGCTAAGCCAATGATAATTAGCGTTTTTCATTTTTATGTATTAAGAATTTTTAAAAAATGTTGGATGCCATGTTTATTTTCATTTTGCATATCTATTCAGTTTTTGTTTCATTTTCGGTTATTTTTTATTATTTATTTTAAAGTCGAAAACTGACTTCTTTTAAGTTTATGATTTTTACTTAATTTAGAATATATAATGATTTATTTATTTGAAGAGCTTAATAAATACGATTTCATTGTTTAGATTGTTTCATTTGTTTATTTTTGGAAGACGTGTGAACTTTCATTGCATAGGGTAAAGTCGGATAAAGCGTACCGCCGGGTAAATCGTACCACCACCGTTTTCAAGAGAATTATTTACTACCCGTGGCATCTCTTGGCAAAATCCAAAAGCTTTGAGGATTATATTTTTCCCGCCCAAGCTAATAATTGCCGCTCACTTCACCCTGTCAGTCAGTTTGAGGTTAAATTAAGAGCAGTGTTGTTGATGTTATTTTTTGCTCCGGTTCATAAGCTTTTTTCTTACATTTGGTAAGTAGATACTTTTAAGATGTATTATTCACGTATTTTATGGACGTGTAGTTAGTTGTTGCTGAAATTATCAATTGGAAATACGTTTGTTTAGGTTGAAATTTTATATAAAAAAGTAAAATTGTGCTTGTGTCGTATATCGTACCACCGACAGTTTTGTAAATCGTACCGGTACGATTTACCCAACCGAGACTTTTTGCTCCATTTTTCATAAGTTTTTGTTACAGGAATTCAAAAAAGAAGATGAGTAAAGTAAATAATAAGAAAAAAACAAAACAGAAATACTGTGGATGGACCTCAGAAGATATGGATCATGCAATTAATGCATACAAACAAAACCAATGTGGTTTTAATGAATGCTGCAGGCGCTATAACATTCCAAAGCCAACTTTTAGAAGGCATTTGCGCTCTTTAAATAAAAAGGCAAATTAAAATGTCAAGTCTTTGGGTCGTCACACAACCTTCAGTCCTGAAACTGAAATGGAATTGGCAAAACATATTTTGAAGCTGGAAGAAAGATTTTTTGGTGTAACAATTCGGGATGTTAGACGATTGGCTTTCCAAATAGCTGTTCGGAATGATATTCCACATCGCTTCCACATCAACAAAGAAATGGCGGGAAAAGGATGGTATTATTCTTTTATGAACCGACATCCTGAACTGTCACTAAGGCAACCAGAGAAAACCTCCATGGCTAGAGCAACTGGATTCAACCAAAAAAACGTCCATGAGTTTTTTGATATCTTAGAAAGATGTGTTGATGAAAACTGTTTTACGGCTCAAACAACTTATAATGTTGATGAAAGTGGATTTTCAACTGTTCAAAAACGGAATCAAAAAATAATTGCACGTAGAGGAAAGCACCAAGTTGGAGGTATAGCAAGTGGTGAGAGGGGCGTAAATACCACAGTTGTCGATTGTGCCAGTACTGCCGGTCAAACTGTACCACCCATGATCATTTTCAAGAGAAAACGTATGGCTCCAGAGCTAACCATAGGTGCAATATCTGGCACTATTGTTACAATTTCAGATACTGGATATATAAATAGCGAACTTTTTGTTAAATGGTTAAAGCACTTCATTGAGTACGTAAAACCAAGTACCGAAAAAAAAGATTTGCTTTTGCTGGATGGCCACACAACGCACTCAAAAAATCTAGAAGCACTCATTTTAGCAAAAATGCATGGAATTGTACTACTGCAACTTCCTGGCCATACTACAAATCGGTTACAGCCATTAGACGTAAGCTTTTTTAAACCTATGGAATCCTATTTTTCTCAAGGTATTGAAACATTTTTGAGAAGCAATCCTGGTAACACTGTTACTCAATATAACATGACTGGATTGCTCCCTGATGCCTATGCAAAAACTGCATCAAAAAGCAACATCATGGGTGGTTTTAAAAGAACTGGAATATGGCCGGTTGACCGTACTGTATTTTCTGACGCAGATTTTATCGCTGCTAGCGCCTTGCTTGAAAATGATTCAGAAACAGCAAGGGGGGATTTAGGGACAATAAATCCACGTGAAACGACTATTGAGCCTGAAGACGAAGCTACTGAGCGACCAGTTAAAAGTAATAGTACTGAACTAAACAACAATTGCAACTCAACAGATCTGAATACCTCCATTGAAAAAATTTATCCTTTAGGGGAGACCGAGGTGGGTTGTGACAGAGGGGAGTTGTTACAGAGTAGATTTCTCATAACCTATGATCGCTAGCAAATTGGCAACAACGCGTATTTATTGCTTGAAAGACAAAGCATGAGCTGTAGTTTGTGTCCCTGGTCTAGAAGGAACGGTTGCGTCTGAACAGCATTCTCGTCTAGAAAAATACCAAAAGTAAGTTTTTGACCGATACTTTGATATCCTATTATGCGATAAGAGTTACGTTAATTTTGCTGTGCAATTTTTTCTACTGTTATTTGGTCTTTCAAGTCTCAAACCATGGTACTGTTTCTTTGGGTTTGCCACGTGGTTTTAGGTTATGAGCATTAATTCCGATAGGACCACGTTATTTTGTACCTAGGAGAATTGTGACAGCGTGTCACAACTCTCCTAGGTATTTTCTTTTTTTTTTGTCGTTAGTGTGTGTGTGTGTGTGTGACTGCATACTGAATCGCCATTTTTTTTAGATGCCCAATAAATATGTGAGGAAAACTGATAGAGGCGTGTCCAGTGCCGAAATATATGAACTAGCCTTTGAAGAGGTGACGTTTAGGGGACAAAGCCTCAGGAGTGCTGCATCTGCTTACAATATAAACTATATGTCTTTACAGAGATATATTAAAAAGAAAAAAGCATACCAGGCCAACTTGACAGACAAGCCTCCATCGGTCGGGTATGTCAGTCAGACAGTTTTTTTGAAAGACGAAGAAAACGTACTATGCGAATATTTGTTGACTTGTGCGGCATCTAATTACGGATTAACAACAAAAGAGACACGAAGATTAGCCTATATGTTAGCAAAAAAGCATGATAAGAAATTTCCGACATCGTGGGAGGAAAATAAAATGGCAGGTGAAGTATGGCTGAAGCTATTTATGGAGCGCCATCCAATTTTATCCTTGAGATTGCCTCAACCCACAAGTATAGCTCGCGCTACGAGCTTCAATAAAACTAACGTGGCGGCCTTTTTTAAGAATTACACAGGTGTCCTGACCAAGTATGCACTTGAGGCAAAAGATATTTGGAATGTTGACGAAACTGGAATTACAACAGTGCAGAAACCTGACAGGATCATTGCGCGACGCGGTGAAAAACAGGTCAGCGCAATGACGTCGGCTGAGAGAGGAACGCTAGTGACGCTAGCCTTGGCCGGAAATGCTGTTGGTAACTACATACCTCCTTTCTTCATATTTCCACGTAAAAGATTCCAAGATCACTTCATTCGAGATGGCCCAACTGGTTCAGTAGGAACAGCTAATGGATCTGGGTGGATGCACGAGGACGACCTTTACTTGTTCCTTAATCATTTCATCAACTACGCGAGACCATCAAAGGAGAAGAAAGTGTTGCTACTTTTAGATAACCACTCGTCGCATATGGCTTTGAAAAACATTGAGTTTTGTAGGGAACATGGTGTGATTTTGCTTACGTTTCCTCCTCACTGCACTCACAAGCTCCAACCGATGGATCGTGCTATTTTTGGTCCTCTGAAGAAGGCTGTAAATACAGCTTGTGATAATTGGGTGCACACAAATGCTGGCAAAGTTATGTCTATCTATGACATTCCATCAATTACAAAAACAGCATTTGATGTGGCGATCACGGCGAAAAATGTGAGAGCTGGTTTTGCTGCAACAGGAACGTGGCCTGTTAATACAAATATTATTGGAGATGTCGACTTCCTACCTAGTCAAGTTACTGATCGTATTCCAACCAGTCCAGAGCCAAACCAACGTTTTAGTATGACAAAAGAATCAGAAAATCAAGAAATACCTGCAGCTCCAGATACATCTGAGAATATAGGTGAGAGAGGTGGAGAATATTCGAAAGCCCCTTCTAATAAAATTCTTCCTGATAATGAAGACGCTGCAATCAATTCGACAAAAACACCTGCCGGCAGTTCGTTCATTTGCAGCAAAAATGTCAACGAGCCTGCAAAGACTGAACATATCGCCTCCACATCTACAGCTCGTAGCCCGCTCGTCACTATATCCAATGAATTCTCACCGGAAGCTCTTAGACCTTTGCCAAAAGCTCCTCCAAGAAAAGGACACCAACGGAATAGACGTAAAATCAGATCTGCTGTGCTTACTGACACACCTATTAAGGACGAAATTGCTGCTATAGAAGCAAGCAGGAAAAATGTTAAAAGACGTATTTTTAACAAGGATAATTCTAAAAAAGCAAAGAAGATGAATAGTAGGAAGAACCAAACCGATGATGAGGAAGAAGAAGAAAACGACTGTTTCTGTCTATGTTGTCTTGAACCATTTGCAAACAGCAAGTCCAGAGAAAAATGGGTCCAGTGCATCGATTGCAAGGGATGGTCACATGAAGCTTGCACTGGAGGAGAGCTCCTCTATGTATGTCACAATTGCTTATCGGACTAGATTGTGGGCGGAACTAACTTTTTATTTTCACTCACATAATCCCAAAGAGTTGTCATATTCTGTTAAAATTATTATAAGAATAATGTTCATGTTATTAATATAATATACTCAACAATTTCAGTAGTTTGTTCCCTTGCAATTGCAAAATATGTTGCTGTCACAACTTACCTCGACCTTTGTCACAATTTACCTCGATACTAGGAGAGTTGTGACATGAAGAACTGTTCTAGTTTTCGTAAAATTCCTCTGGGAACCTAATTGCTTTCATCAATTTCGGGTCTGTTTTACACAGCTGACAGAACTAGCTATATACAGTACCAAAATTATAAGCATATGACCATTTTTTACTGAGATATGCTTGTTAAAGTGAAAATTGTCACAACCCTCCTTGGTCTCCCCTACCTGAGAATAATGGTAATGCTAAGAAAAGAAAATTGTCTCAAACAGCCGTCATTTTAAGCAGTACGCCCTATAAAGATGAATTGGAGAGCAAGCGTAATCAAAGGCAGAACTCAATTAAAAAAGTAAAGAAAAATCTCGGGCTTTCTTCTACTTCCCTTTTCGAAGCACGTGACGACCAATCTTCCACTTCAAAATCTGATGTAGTAAATGCTCAAATTGAATATGATACTACTGAATGGTACTGCCATATATGTGAAGAGAACATTATTGAGGATATGGTGAAATGTATGAAATGTGAGAAATGGGCCCACACATCATGTGCAGGAACTAAAAAGCAAATAAAAAAATATGTGTGTGAGAACTGTAAATAAAAAGTTAGTGGTACGATTTAAAAACCGACGGTACAGTGGTCAATTATTTAAAAATCGGTACGATTTACCCTACTCTACCCTATTTTCGGAGTGTTGTGTTAATTTATCATGATCATCAAATCGTATGATTAAAATAGTTATCTTGATGTCAAATTTTACAGTAGAAAACCTCCGCCTACGCTACGTAATAAATTTCATTATGTCGAACGCCAGCCATTTTTACGATGCGACATGAGGAACCGCCATCCGGCGAATACCGAATTGCACGGTTACCGGTATACGCGTATACGTATATCAATGCGCCGCCGCCGGCGCCGGCCGCCCGTAGGTCTGGAGCCGTCTCTCCGTGCTGGCACTGCCGGATCAATAGGTACCTTTACATTTACACTCTTTCCTGCGGGACTGGAACGCCCCGTTCCAATCTTGTGCGAAAGCATGCCAGTGTAAATGAGAAATAATCGCTCGGTTTTTAGACGTGTTCAAACTCGCATTTTCGTCGCTAGTGATTTTCGTGCAGGTAAGACGTTTGATTACATTTTACTTTCGCGCGGGCAATTGTGCGTAAATTGTGTTCTAGCGTGGGTAAGTATTTTATTGTATATGGGTCATTCTCAACGGAAGACGAATACTCGTGTCTCTAATGGATAATTAAATTATATTTCAAACTAGCAAGCGTAGACAGCTAGAAAAGACTATAGTTAAGTAAACTGAACATTAGCAGGTTGTCGTCACTTCACTCTTTATTTTTTTCTCCTTTTTCTTACATTCACAAGGGGTGAGATCTCACCTCCGTGAACTGTCCCTTGAACCATATTTAAATATACTTTCGTCTGATATAGAAAAACTATCAACGATAAATCAATTCTACGGTCAGTACCGAATCACCGTATGACGTTGTAGTAGGACTATATCAAAAACATTATATTTATATCACCGGGAAGGTTACACTTTACGTCAAAGTATTGTCCCCGCATAGTTTTCCCACCTCCGTTAGTGATTATAGAAAACATAATAATTCCTTCAATTTCGGCACCACCTAGTGTGTGCATCTCAAACTATGAGTTAGTAGCCATTTTTTATCAAGTCTGCTTAAAACTACTGGTGACTGTTGTTATTATCTAGTGAATTTACAATTCGAAGGTAAGATAATCTGTTTGTTCAAGATGAGTTTTCACCTCCGTTTACAGTTTTTTTTGATAAAAGAAATTGATTTCTTTTAACTGTTATCTATAAATATTTACAATAAGTAACATAGATCTCCATGCGACATGCGTTGTTTCCATAACCTCAAAATACTTTCTTATATGATTTGATATCTGATAATTTCTCTCCTCCATGAACCTCACCTCCGTGACTATTTCTGCTCACGGAGGTGAGGTTTTAGTAACTGAGGTGATATTTGTGCTTTAATTTACAGAACTGTTCACTGCGATGGCTCCTGTAAAACCAAATGTTAAAAGCGCCGATGGAAAACGGAAAATAGTGAGGGAAAGTATGAGGAAATTACGAGAAGCGATTAAAAGTGATCCAGTTAGATGTGAAGAGGTAAAAAAGAAGGAAAGGGAAAGATACCATGCAAGAAAAGCTGCTGGTAAAATAAAAGGTGTTGCTGATATGAGCGAAAGGGAAAAAAGGACAATTCGAAGGAAATGGAAGGACAGAAGTAAAAGATGCTATGAAAGGAAGAAAACACAAGAAAAATTGAACAGATTTTTAGCTGAAGAAACTCCTCCATCATCTCCATGTCGACAATCAGTTCAAGAGATACCTGCAGAAATTGATAATCAAGATCGTACACCGTGTACTTCGAAACAATCTACTTCAAGTTCCAGAAGTAGGGTATCGTGCGGCGAAAAACTTCGAAGGAATAACAGGAGAAAGCTGAATATAACGATAAAAAAGCTCGAAATTAAATTACAGGATAGTTCCGACGACATCCCACTTTCAGTTTTGAAAGACAAAATTTCCACAACATTCAATGAAGGCATGTATGTTCTCGTAAAACTAACTGGAAAGAAGATTATCCGACACTACGTTGCTGTTATTCTTCGCGTTGATGGAAGCGGTGAATATAACGTCAAATTCATGAAGGCAACTGGAAGGAAAATATCTGGAAAGAAAACATTTGTATTTCCAGAACGAGATGACATTGCTGATATAGATATATCAGATATACAAGTTGCATTGGTTTGCCCGGAGCTCAATGAGAAAACCAATGAATACATTTTTTTGGATAGCCTTGATTACCCTAATCTGTATTAATAACTAATAATTGTAATCATTGCTTTTATTTCCTTAGGTGTGCTCATCACGTTTATTTTTTGATTTTATGTTTTATGGAGTACAAAATTCATTCGTTTTTAATGTCTCACCACCGTGAACACATGTTTCAAATTTCTCTCAATTTTGAAAGAAAATAAGTTCAATGATCTCGGAAATATAGTTTTTCAAGTAATGACTGACACTACAAATATAAAAATATTAAAATCATAATCTTCTACTCAAGTATATTTTTAATTAAACTGCTAGTGGAATAGTATGGATTTTGTGATAATGACCCATATACATATACAAAGTTTCAATTATTTTAATTGTTAGGTAGATAATATGGCAGATACACGATATTGGTCGAAAGAAGTTGTTTCAGAGTTTATTGAAATATATAAATCTTATCCATGCTTATGGAAAATCAAATCCCGAGAATATACAAACAGAAATTTGAAAAATGCTCCTTACGACAAATTAGTCGAGTTTTGTACAAAATTACATCCAGAAGCAAATCGAGATTATGTTGTGAAGAAAATACAAAGTTTTCGTGGTTCTTTTCGGAAGGAATTAAAAAAGATAGAGTAATCCAAGCGAAGTGGAGCTAGTACAGATGAAATTTATACTCCCACATTATGGTATTTCGACTTACTCCAGTTTACTATTGATCAGGAAATACCCACGCAAAGCATTTGTAACATGGAAGATGAAGGAACAGAAAATTCCAACCACTCTACTGAAGAAGAAGTTGAATTTCAACAGAAAACAGAAGTAAATAATACACAAGTAAGTTTTTTAGGTAGGGGAAAGTGGTACAAACTGATCCCTGAAGGTAAAACGATCCCCGGCTATTTTACTGAGTTTATAGCGTCATCTAGGATGCTTTTAATAAGCTACAAGTTCCTATGGTTAAGCTGTACAATCTCAGTCGGTATCGTGGCGTCACAGGCAATGGTGAAGATTTTATCACGAAATATTTAAAATCAGTGCTCTCAATCTAAGGTAAGCCATCATTTGACATTATGGTGCTTTACTCTATGTATATATTATGTGGTTGGTCTGTTTGTATCAGTTTCTGGTACTAATTAACTATAGAATTAACCATCATTCATTACAATATTCGAGAAACAAAGGTTATGTTCTGATGTTTTCGTTAATGACGCATTTGGGGCAAAACGATCCCTATACGGGGTGGGCAAAATAATTCCTAGGATCATTTTACCCCGTCTACCTACTTCCAATAGATATGTTTTTTTTATATTATCACCCAATAGTAACTAGTATGCATATAAAAAAACGACTTCAATAATGCAATAGTCATAAGTTTTCACAATATATAACCTTGTGATACTATTCAATTTATCTTTATTTTGTTGCTTAAAATATGCGGTAGCCATTAATGCCGTTTTACTTTCAGAAATCATGCCGCGAAATTACATCCGGAAAACAACACGTCAGAACTGGGATGAACAAGCTATGATTAAAGCCATAGAAGCCGTAAAACAGGGTATGCCATATAAAGCCGCCTCCAAACAATTTTTAGTCCCACTTAGGGCACTTAAAAGAAGAGTTAAAGGAAAGAACGTTTACGCTGTGGGGGGCACCAAAATGTTGGGAAGTATCAAGAAAGTATTCACGGATGAACAGGAGCTGGAGCTAGTGCAACATATTAAAGACAATGAAGAGACTATGTACGGTTTTACAGTTGATGACGTTCGTAAATTTGCTTTTGAGATAGCTGAAAGAAACAAAATAAGGCATCCATTTTCTACTACGTCCCGTAAAGCTGGTAAAGACTGGCTAAGGGGGTTTCGACAAAGACATCCTGATATCACTCTACGTGCCCCGGAGTCAACGTCAGCGGCACGAGCTCGATCATTCAATAAACCGATTATTGACAAATTTTACAAAAATTTACAAAAAGCTCAGGAAAAGCATGTATTTCCTCCTCATCGCATTTTTAACGTTGATGAGACTAGTTTGAACACCGTTCCGACCAAAAATAGTAAAATCTTTGCCAAAAAAGGGCGCAAACAAGTAGCGAGAATCACGTCTGCCGAAAGAGGTGAATCAACTACAGCGGTTATTTGCGGATCAGCTGGAGGAAACTTCATACCACCAATGCTAATATTTCGCCGATTGCGAATGAAAATAGAATTAATGGACGGTACTCCACCAGGCTCTGTGTACGCGTGCAATCCCTCCGGCTGGATGAATATTGAGGTTTTCTCTCAGTGGTTTGACCATTTCTTGTCCCATACTAAACCATCTACAGAAGATCCCATACTTCTAATACTGGACGGCCATCTTTCTCATACCAGAAATTTGAACGTCATAATAAAAGCCAGAGAAAATAACGTAACAATTTTGTGCTTACCCCCACACTGCACGCACAAACTTCAACCACTCGATGTTGGTGTAATGTTTCCACTGAGCGTGTATCACAACCAGGCTTTAGAAAGGTGGATGAATAATAATGCGGGTCGTGTAGTAACAGTTTTTCAAATAGGTAAAATCTTTGGAGAAGCATATTTGAAAGCTGCTGCACCCTCAAATATTATCAAAGGATTTGAAAAGTGTGGAATATGGCCGCTCAATCCTGATGTTTTTACTGATGTAGACTTCGTTGCTGCCACCACAACTGATCAAGCAGTAAGTAACGAAATATTGGTGCCCCATCCATCAATAAATATAGCGCCTGATGAAATTCAAGTTTTTGGTGACCATAAACCGCGACAACTTATACCCAGGGCTCCTGTACTTCCAGCCGATTCTACGACATGTGTACTAGTTGATGAACCATCCAACCTTACTGCTGTGTCACCTTGTACCTTATCGACATGTGCAGCCCACAAGCAAGGAGAGAATAACGAATACCGTGTAGCTGAAGCACCTACTACTATTCTGGCTTCCAACGAAAGTATTTCTAACAGCTTGAGAAGTTCAGCCGCCATTCCATTACCGTGGACATCAGTTGAAGTATCTTCCGTCTACGATAATGTTTCGCCTTCTACCTCATCCATAACTACGAATACACCATCTCTTGCAGCTGCTGCTCAATCGGCGTCTTATGACACTTCGGATAAAGATTCATTTGCATCACCAGTTGCGTCCACATCTTTTAGCATCCCTCCATGCCAGATTCGACCTTTCCCTAAAATGGCAGAAAAACGTAGAAAAAATATCAAAGCTCGAGTATGTACAGCAATCCTTACAAGTTCGCCTTATAAAAATTACTTAGAAGAGGAAGTTAATAAAAAAAAATGAAAAAGAACGCAAAAAAATAAACGCAACGAAAATAAAAAGAACTCAATCAAGGGAAATTCTAAATCAAATGAGGAAAAAGGAAAAAGAAAAGCAAAAGAAAATGTGACCGAAAAATACAAACGTCTAAAACCTAAAAGAGGCAAAAGTGAGTCATCTTCAGAGGACGAAAGTGATGCTGAGTGTTTGTTTTGTAATGAGAGGTTTTCCAATAATAATAGAGGTGAAGGATGGATCAAATGTTGTGCTTGCTTAAGATGGGGCCACGAAGCTTGCGCTGGCGTTGATCCCGATGACGCTGACGAGTTCACATGTGATTTTTGTGTCGATGCCGATGATCGTTTCACTTCTGCTCGGAAACAATTAAGACTGTAAAAGTTGATATTATATACATTCTTATGATATGAACATATATCCATGTACATATTAATGTTCTAATGTATATTTCAAGATTCCTTTTCGTTTCTACTGGCCTCTAAATAAAAGTTTCTTTTTATAAATATGTGTTTTATTAATTCATTTTGATACTGAATCTGCAATAAAACTTGTAAAAGTATTATTGATTCTTTTAGTTCTTACATGAATTTTGTATAGTGGGGTAAAATGATCCCCCGGATCATTTTACCCGCATCTCGGGGATCATTTTGGACACAGGGGTGTACAAAATGATCCTTTGGTAGAGCTTCACGGAAAAATTAATAAAAATTATTCCTAATGGCTTACGCGATTCAAAGGTTACTAAATTTGTAGTTCGATTGCATAGCTACGCTTTAAATATTTTAACTTTTATCAAAAGCTGGATACAGTCGTTTCTCAGCCGTTTTCCCTTAAGGGGATCATTTTGTACCACCTTCCCCTACTATGCGTCAAAATAAGAGGGAAATCCCCAAAGAATTTTTAGCAAACAAAAGCAGACAAATAAATTCGTCAACCTTTGGATTTCAGAAAGACTGTAGTCTGGTATCCTACTGCCAAAAAAAAAATAAAGCAGTTATCATATTATCTACAATGCACTTTGATGGAGCCATAGATGCTTCAACAGGCGAAGCACAAAATCCTGAAATGGTCACGTTTTATAATATGACTAAAGTTGAGGTTGACCTTTTAGATCAATTGTGTCAAAAAAATAACGTGCAACGCAGTACAAGACAGTGGCCCATGGTACTGTTTTATGATTTTCTCAACATAGCGGCAATAAATTCGTTTTGTATCTATAGACACCACTGTGCAGCTTCAACAACAAATGCAAAAAGAGCTGAATTTCTAGAAAACCTCAGTTGGGCTCTAATAAAACCACAAATAGAACGGAGGGCGAAAATCGAAACCCTCCCAAGGGAGCTTCGCAGAAGAGCTAAGTTACTTGTAGGGATCCAGGAGGAGACAATGCAGCAATATAATAAAACCGGGTCACGAGGGCGGTGCTATCAGTGCGGAAGGCAACGTAACAAAATGAGCAGGAAATGGTGTTACAAATGTAATGATTGGGTCTGTGTATACCACCTTAAAAATATTTGTACCAGTTGTGTTCAGAGTCAGTGAATACTTATACTTAGTCGAGCAGTTTATGTTTCTTATTTGGAATTCTAGTTTTATTGAAATCCCCATATTAGATTGACGTATTAGTTTATATCCAATATAAATATTATAAAATAAAACATTGTTCCACCAAACTTTTCATTTGTTAATAATTCTTTGAAATATATATGTATTATTTAATAACTGGATGACCACTGTCATCCGCGCGACTCTCGGCGTTACAATTATCCACGCGACTAATCGAGGGTTAATAAATAAAGTGATATCGTCGTAACACCGTCTTCCTACCCATTAACCTGAGAGAGCTAGCTCGGGAACTATTTCAAAGTCTGTGCTGATGTGCTCAGCCGCCCAGCAAGAAGGACACATAAAAAAGACGAACATTTCTCAAGACGCGAACTTAGACGCGATATATATATATATATATATATATATACGGATATTCATCTGTATCCACGGACTCGCTATTTCAAACCCCTAGACAAACAACCAATACTCCTACAATAATGAGACTTTGTAGCAGAGGGTAGCGAAGAATGATAAAGGCCACCATCATTGGTTAACTGGATAGTCCCCATAAATGGCATTATAGAAATATTTGAAATGTTGGAACAAGGCAACGTTAATCACTTGAAGTGAGGTGACTGAACCAAGACGCCCTTGAAAACTTCTTTGGCCAGATGAAATAGCAGGGTCTACGAGGCACCAATCCGACTTGTAGTCATTTCAAAAATCACTTCAAAGCATTACTGATAAACAACTTTTCTAACAGCCACTCTATGTCAGCTAATTGTGAAAGTGAAAATTCAAAAACTCTCATAGTGGCGGTGAAAAAGTTCATCACTGTAGATGTGGTAGTGCCTTCAAGTACGGATGTGTGTTCATTTCCATCAGAAATTCCAAACCAAGCACTGCAGTACATAAGTAAAGTTAGTTTAGGATATGTAAGTTGTTTCATCCCCAAATATGTAAAAAAAGATATTTCTTCATGTGAAGTTTGCATGAGAGATATACGAGGAGCAGACTTGCAATACGCAATTTGTCCAAATTTTCCCTGTTTCAACTATGCCAAATTTAAGATTTGTACCAAATGTAACAATCTACCGGACAAGTACGGCAGCAAATTTGAAAACTCAAAAAGACAGAAATTCGTGGAAAAATATTCGAAAGGCAGATCGGAGACAGAAAACGTGCATAACGTTGACTCAGAAGATATAGAGTATGTTTTTCAAATCGATGATGATAGTATAAAAGTAAACAGGGTGGAGTACCGCTAGATATGCTAATCGATTCAGGGAGTAAAAGTAACATTTTAGATGACAAAACATGGGACAATTTAAAGCAAGAAAGAATTGAAGTGTGAGATCAAGTAAAAAATCCCGACAAATTCTTATTTGCATATGGGAGCAAAACTCCTTTGAATGTTCTTGGATCATTTAGGTCAACAATTTCTGTAGGAAGTAATCAGGATATTGCAACATTCTATGTCATAAAAAATGGATCTAGATGCTTACTGGGAAAATCTACTGCGATGGCTTTAGATGTTCTTAAAATTGGATTGGATGTAAATACAATAGAGCAATTTCCAAAATTTAAGAACGTTTTGATTGACATTCCAATCTATAGCCCAGTTAGCCCGGTATGTCAGCCCTACAGACGAATACCAATACCATTAGAAGCAAAGGTAGAAAGAAACTTAAGGGAATTGATAGTCTGACATTGTAGAAGCAGTTGAGGGGCCTTCTAAATGGATTTCGCCAATAGTACCAATCTTGAAAAGCAATGGGGATGTCCGAATATGTGTGGACATGAGAAGGACCAATGAGGCTATTCTACGAGAAAATCATCCACTTCCTACTATGGACACCTTACTTCCACACTTCCGACAAGCACGATTGTTTTCCAGGTTAGCCATCAAGAATGCGTTTCACCAATTAGAAATATCGGAAGAATCTAGGTACATAACTACATTTATTACCAGTAAAGGGTTATTCAGGTACAAACATTGGAAAGAATTCTATAGAGTTGAATTTTTGGGACACGAGTTATCAGCGCAGGGGGTGAAACCATTATTTTGAAGGCATTACTGGAATCGTTATCTGGAGAAAACTGGGACACTGATCCAGAATTACAATGGTTAGCTCCGATTCTTGCAGAGCACTGTGAAGATGGAGGAGCAGTTGCTGAAGAAGAAGAATGAGAATGTAACGACATGGAATAAGTTAATTTTATTTCAGGTATAAACAAATAAAATAAAGCGGCTCTTTCTTGAGAAAATGCGTTTGTTTAATTTTTAGGATAATTTATTATACTCAAAAATCTATTCGAGTGACAAGCAAAATGCTCTTTGTCTACACTGTAGAGCTGTTACGAACCGTATGTATTCGTTACTGAGTAACGAATAGTAGGAAAGATTCGAAGTACCGAATCGTTACTTTCATAAACATATCGTTACTCGCATGTTTGAAACAGTACCAAAAGACTTATTCAAAAACATATTTTTATGAAGATATTAAACTTGTTTAAGTGAATCAACTCGCATAAAAATATCAAATAAAAGCTAAGTGATTGCAGGAATATGATAAGATTTAAAATAATGCACAGCATACAGTGTATCAGTAACGATTTGAATTACGCGGTTATCGCTATCAGCCAGCATCGATATTATAGGCAACCAATACATCACCAAAGTGACCGAAGGTTTGTCGAAGGCTTGTCGGTCTGGCGGGCTGCTAGACGTACGTATGGTATTACCTGTATTATATTCCGCCTCGTCTCGTAATTAAGAATACTGTAGTAACTTCCACTTCCTATCCAACCGCACGCATTTTGAAGATATCGATTTTTCGATTCCCTGCACTCCGCTGATCCCCGACCCCGGCGAACTAGGTCATTCTTTCATTGCGTGTCGAACCAATTGTATCGCGCGATCGGTGTATGCAAATAGTGATTTGTTGTGCGTGGTAGGTTAATACTATTAAAATGCCGAAAGTGGTGAAGAACCGAAAGAGGAAGTGGTGGATAATGTTGATGAGAAGATAAGAGTTTTACGAAGAAAATTGGCAGATTTAGAAGCTACGCAGATTAAAAAAGATGGGACCAAGCGGTTCCGCCAGCATGATGAGATCACCGGCGAGGTTGTCAGGCACGACGATGTGGCCAAACCTGATGATAGATGCCGACACGACTATGTCGCCAAACCTGCTGTTAGACAAAGGCACGCTGATGTTGCCAAATCTCAAACATGTTTGGAGTCTGATAGTTCTAGTCGTCGTCCTGTTACGAGTCGTACGAGGTCTAAATCGCGAGAACACGAGGAGGATGTTCCGTATCAATCTTCGAATTTTAACGACCCTCCGAGTCAACAAAATAATGATGGAAAATATTCAAATGTAGATCGTGAGAGTGAAGCCAGCGCACTTCATTGCGCCCAAATATCTTTGCATAAAGGACATTACAAAGTTCTTGTTATGCCATTAGGGAAGGAAAATATAACAGTGGTTATGGGCCATCAACGCATTCTATAAGCATCTCATGCTTGAGTCTTGTATTTCACCTTTTTACTAATCATCATTGATCCACTTAACGTCTACTACACCAATAACGGAAAAATTCGAATGTCACAGTAGGTACGGGCATTAAAAATGAAAATGACCAGTTGAAAGCCGGTTACCGGGACTGCGCCTGTTACATACTCCCAAGAATTCACGAATAAACAGGCGAGGTCTCCGGAGTACCCGTTTTAAATAAGTACTTGGTCTGTCTTTATTACAAGACTGTCTCAGATGGATTGTAATGTTTTTCCCGGGTGGGTATGTATCCATGTACCTATCCCAAAAATTTTACGAGCTACAGCTTAAACGACTTGACGAATTTTGACATATGAGGTGTTGTTAGATTCATCTTGGCAGTGCGAGTGACACTGGCTGTATTAAAATTTTATAAAATCAAAATGGCGGACTTCAGTTGAACATTTTCAGTTTGATATTTCTTTTTCAAGAGCTATAGCTTAAAATACAGCACAATTAAAAATTCAACATTTTCAGTTACTGCAGTCGATATTTTTGTATTTTTAAAAAAAATTACTTAGTATTACAGCGCTTTCCTACGAGAAGCAAAAGGTTTGTTACAATTATACTTTTTCTACATAATTTACTTACTGTTCAATAGAACGTGGTTTGCAATTTTCAAGGAATCTAGCAGTTTAATATACATATATTTCATTTTAGCTGCTATCAGTAAATTAAATTAAAAACCACATTCAGGTTAATAAAATTCCTCCACAAGCTTGTTTAATGGCATCTGTAATTTTGCTCCCGCTAGGCGGCGCTAATGTGGTTGGAGGTCAATCTGTCAATCAAACTAGCGCCTCCTATTTCTAGCTTTTTCCGAGTGATTTTTTTCATCCTCTTTTAGATGACAGAACTGGCCTTCGGAGGTCGGCCCGGATCCGGCGACCACCAGCGAACCGGTACCCGTTTGTCTTTTATGTAAGGACGAAGAGGGAATTACAGCACATCAATAAGAATATCCCTGAGGAGTGTCTGGTAAGTGCGATCAGTAATTTTCGAAGATTTCAATATTTCACAAAATTCACTTTTGTTTTTCAAATAAAACAGCGAAACGCGGGCGGAAATGTTTAAGGGCGGTACCGTTCGATTGCATGATTCATGAATTTTCAGTAACCATCAGTCAGTTGACGGGTCAACAGGGCGCCCTCGTGGTGCAAGCGTTCTTTGAGAATAATAGTTCTTATGTCACTGTGCAACGTTTATTTCGAGTCAAATATGGATTCCGGCGTATTAATCAGTGCCCTAGTACTAATGAAGCAATGGTTGAGGAGGTTTCAAGAAACCGGTTCCACATTGCCAACAAGACGTCAAGGTCGCCCGCGGACAGTACGAACAGATCAAGGAATCGAGGAAGTGAGTGAATCTGTTTGAGTCGATCCCGAGCTCTCAACTCCTGGACGTTCAGCGATGATGAGTATTGCTCGCACGAGTTTGAGACGAATTTATGCAAATAGTGATTTGTTGTGCGTGGTAGGTTAATACTATTAAAATGCCGAAAGTGGTGAAGAACCGAAAGAGGAAGTGGTGGATAATGTTGATGAGAAGATAAGAGTTTTACGAAGAAAATTGGCAGATTTAGAAGCTACGCAGATTAAAAAAGATGGGACCAAGCGGTTCCGCCAGCATGATGAGATCACCGGCGAGGTTGTCAGGCACGACGATGTTGCCAAACCTGATGATAGATGCCGACACGACGATGTCGCCAAACCTGCTGTTAGACAAAGGCACGCTGATGTTGCCAAATCTCAAACATGTTTGGAGTCTGATAGTTCTAGTCGTCGTCCTGTTACGAGTCGTACGAGGTCTAAATCGCGAGAACACGAGGAGGATGTTCCGTATCAATCTTCGAATTTTAACGACCCTCCGAGTCAACAAAATAATGATGGAAAATATTCAAATGTAGATTCCGAGGAGGAAGCCTCGCTTGCATCATTGGCTCACATTTTAAGGCGGCAGTCCGCTTTGTTAGCCCATATAGGCGCGAGGACGTCGCCTTTACCCCTCAGACTCAGGATGAAGACTTTATTAGTGACCAGTTATCATGGGTCAGTGGCGATCCTAACTCTGATTGTGAGAGTGAAGCCAGCGCACTTCATTGCGCCCAAATATCTTTGCATAAAGGACATTACAAAGTTCTTGTTATGCCATTAGGGAAGGAAAATATAACAGTGGTTATGGGCCATCAACGCATTCTATAAGCATCTCATGCTTGAGTCTTGTATTTCACCTTTTTACTAATCATCATTGATCCACTTAACGTCTACTACACCAATAACGGAAAAATTCGAATGTCACAGTAGGTACGGGCATTAAAAATGAAAATGACCAGTTGAAAGCCGGTTACCGGGACTGCGCCTGTTACATACTCCCAAGAATTCACGAATAAACAGGCGAGGTCTCCGGAGTACCCGTTTTAAATAAGTACTTGGTCTGTCTTTATTACAAGACTGTCTCAGATGGATTGTAATGTTTTTCCCGGGTGGGTATGTATCCATGTATCCCAAAAATTTTACGAGCTACAGCTTAAACGACTTGACGAATTTTGACATATGAGGTGTTGTTAGATTCATCTTGGCAGTGCGAGTGACACTGGCTGTATTAAAATTTTATAAAATCAAAATGGCGGACTTCAGTTGAACATTTTCAGTTTGATATTTCTTTTTCAAGAGCTATAGCTTAAAATACAGCACAATTAAAAATTCAACATTTTCAGTTACTGCAGTCGATATTTTTGTATTTTTAAAAAAAATTACTTAGTATTACAGCGCTTTCCTACGAGAAGCAAAAGGTTTGTTACAATTATACTTTTTCTACATAATTTACTTACTGTTCAATAGAACGTGGTTTGCAATTTTCAAGGAATCTAGCAGTTTAATATACATATATTTCATTTTAGCTGCTATCAGTAAATTAAATTAAAAACCACATTCAGGTTAATAAAATTCCTCCACAAGCTTGTTTAATGGCATCTGTAATTTTGCTCCCGCTAGGCGGCGCTAATGTGGTTGGAGGTCAATCTGTCAATCAAACTAGCGCCTCCTATTTCTAGCTTTTTCCGAGTGATTTTTTTCATCCTCTTTTAGATGACAGAACTGGCCTTCGGAGGTCGGCCCGGATCCGGCGACCACCAGCGAACCGGTACCCGTTTGTCTTTTATGTAAGGACGAAGAGGGAATTACAGCACATCAATAAGAATATCCCTGAGGAGTGTCTGGTAAGTGCGATCAGTAATTTTCGAAGATTTCAATATTTCACAAAATTCACTTTTGTTTTTCAAATAAAACAGCGAAACGCGGGCGGAAATGTTTAAGGGCGGTACCGTTCGATTGCATGATTCATGAATTTTCAGTAACCATCAGTCAGTTGACGGGTCAACAGGGCGCCCTCGTGGTGCAAGCGTTCTTTGAGAATAATAGTTCTTATGTCACTGTGCAACGTTTATTTCGAGTCAAATATGGATTCCGGCGTATTAATCAGTGCCCTAGTACTAATGAAGCAATGGTTGAGGAGGTTTCAAGAAACCGGTTCCACATTGCCAACAAGACGTCAAGGTCGCCCGCGGACAGTACGAACAGATCAAGGAATCGAGGAAGTGAGTGAATCTGTTTGAGTCGATCCCGAGCTCTCAACTCCTGGACGTTCAGCGACGATGAGTATTGCTCGCACGAGTTTGAGACGAATTTATGCAAATAGTGATTTGTTGTGCGTGGTAGGTTAATACTATTAAAATGCCGAAAGTGGTGAAGAACCGAAAGAGGAAGTGGTGGATAATGTTGATGAGAAGATAAGAGTTTTACGAAGAAAATTGGCAGATTTAGAAGCTACGCAGATTAAAAAAGATGGGACCAAGCGGTTCCGCCAGCATGATGAGATCACCGGCGAGGTTGTCAGGCACGACGATGTTGCCAAACCTGATGATAGATGCCGACACGACGATGTCGCCAAACCTGCTGTTAGACAAAGGCACGCTGATGTTGCCAAATCTCAAAAATGTTTGGAGTCTGATAGTTCTAGTCGTCGTCCTGTTACGAGTCGTACGAGGTCTAAATCGCGAGAACACGAGGAGGATGTTCCGTATCAATATTCGAATTTTAACGACCCTCCGAGTCAACAAAATAATGATGGAAAATATTCAAATGTAGATTCCGAGGAGGAAGCCTCGCTTGCATCATTGGCTCACATTTTAAGGCGGCAGTCCGCTTTGTTAGCCCATATAGGCGCGAGGACGTCGCCTTTACCCCTCAGACTCAGGATGAAGACTTTATTAGTGACCAGTTATCATGGGTCAGTGGCGATCCTAACTCTGATTGTGAGAGTGAAGCCAGCGCACTTCATTGCGCCCAAATATCTTTGCATAAAGGACATTACAAAGTTCTTGTTATGCCATTAGGGAAGGAAAATATAACAGTGGTTATGGGCCATCAACGCATTCTATAAGCATCTCATGCTTGAGTCTTGTATTTCACCTTTTTACTAATCATCTTTGATCCACTTAACGTCTACTACACCAATAACGGAAAAATTCGAATGTCACAGTAGGTACGGGCATTAAAAATGAAAATGACCAGTTGAAAGCCGGTTACCGGGACTGCGCCTGTTACATACTCCCAAGAATTCACGAATAAACAGGCGAGGTCTCCGGAGTACCCGTTTTAAATAAGTACTTGGTCTGTCTTTATTACAAGACTGTCTCAGATGGATTGTAATGTTTTTCCCGGGTGGGTATGTATCCATGTAGGGGAGCGCGGGGTAATGGGAGCGGTCGGGAAATGGGAGCTATGGTGATTGAACGGAATGTAGGCAACTTACGTGATTGGTAAACATTCGGCTGCTTCCGCCAACATTCGAGAAACTTCGTCTGACCGGTACGAGCCGTTAGTGCAATGAGTTCAGTCACGAGGGACGGTTGTTTGTTTTTCGCTGCGTCCTTATAAAAATTGTGGATTGCCAGCGACAAGGTAAGCATGAAGCTTGATTATTATTTTATTTTGTTTATATTCATATCATCCGTAGATTCATTCACTAACTAGTGCAATTTGTTTAATTACGACTGGAATTACAATTACATTATTTATATTATTACTTTTCAAAATGGTGGTCAGCGGGAAATGGGAGCCTAGAATGGCTCTCACTACCCGACATAGCTCCCACTACTCTACCAGCTTTTAAAATATATTTTCACACCATTTATTATCTGTGCTCGTGCATGACGCAGGACAGCAGCCAACTAACATATCCCCTATTCCATCTACGTCAAAGCAGAAAGTTAATAAACCATCGACTGCTAGCCCTGCTATGAGTCCATCTATTCTTTGTGACGCAGAATTTCAACCAGAAGTAGTTCAGGAGGAAGCTGCTGTAAGCCCAGCTCCAATTCCAACCATATTATGTGCAACACCAACACGAGCTGCTATTCGGGAGGAACATATCGTTAGATCTACCGCAACTCCGTCAAAATCATATTTTAATGAGACCGATACTAATGACGATGAAACAGTAACTGACTTTGTTGATATTCTAAAAATTGTGAGCCCACTGCCACAACAACTCATAACTAATAAAAAAAACGAGATTGAAGAACAAACAACATTCTGAAATTATAACAAGCACTCCAATGAAGGCAATATTTGAAGAAAAGAAGAGGAAAAGGACTGAAAAAGAGGAAAATACTAAAAAAAATAAAAAGGCGGTAATAAATAAAATTGCACCGAAGGTAAATGTAACAAACGGAAACTTACCAAAGATAGAGAGGTTAAAAGCAAGAAGACCACAACCAGAAAGAAAGGGGCCAAAAAGGCAAAAAAAAAAATTGTTTAATAGTGATGATGAAGATTCATCTGATGATCAAATTGACGAATGTACAATTTGCGACGACGAGTCAGAATACTCAGAAGAGGAAACTTTATGTGCAATTTGCTTAGACACGGGAAAAAGTGGAGAGATGTGGTACCGATGCAGAAGTTGCGGAAACTGGGCTCATATGTTTTTCTTTAATAATTTTATCTTTTTTTTTCTTGTTTTTGTTTAAAAAGTATTTTTTTATTTGTGTTACAATGATCGTAGTAGCTAACTAAGATCACAGTCATTGAAAGTATATTTAGTTTAACTTTTGCGCAATACTAAATAGTATGACTCCCATTTCCCATATGAGCGTGAAATGGGCTCTCATTACCCGCACGTGTCGGGTAATGGAAGCGATTGACTTTTTTTGTAGAATCGGTATTGTACCTTAATATATGACTGCAATAAGTCCTAACAGTGATTAAAACATACCGGTATGATTATTCTAAGAGTTCCTAATTAAAAATTATAAAAAAGTTAATAAATGTGGTTTTTATGAAAGTTTTCTCTTAGTAGGCTCCCATTACCCTGCGCTCCCCTATCCCAAAAATTTTACGAGCTACAGCTTAAACGACTTGACGAATTTTGACATATGAGGTGTTGTTAGATTCATCTTGGCAGTGCGAGTGACACTGGCTGTATTAAAATTTTATAAAATCAAAATGGCGGACTTCAGTTGAACATTTTCAGTTTGATATTTCTTTTTCAAGAGCTATAGCTTAAAATACAGCACAATTAAAAATTCAACATTTTCAGTTACTGCAGTCGATATTTTTGTATTTTTAAAAAAAATTACTTAGTATTACAGCGCTTTCCTACGAGAAGCAAAAGGTTTGTTACAATTATACTTTTTCTACATAATTTACTTACTGTTCAATAGAACGTGGTTTGCAATTTTCAAGGAATCTAGCAGTTTAATATACATATATTTCATTTTAGCTGCTATCAGTAAATTAAATTAAAAACCACATTCAGGTTAATAAAATTCCTCCACAAGCTTGTTTAATGGCATCTGTAATTTTGCTCCCGCTAGGCGGCGCTAATGTGGTTGGAGGTCAATCTGTCAATCAAACTAGCGCCTCCTATTTCTAGCTTTTTCCGAGTGATTTTTTTCATCCTCTTTTAGATGACAGAACTGGCCTTCGGAGGTCGGCCCGGATCCGGCGACCACCAGCGAACCGGTACCCGTTTGTCTTTTATGTAAGGACGAAGAGGGAATTACAGCACATCAATAAGAATATCCCTGAGGAGTGTCTGGTAAGTGCGATCAGTAATTTTCGAAGATTTCAATATTTCACAAAATTCACTTTTGTTTTTCAAATAAAACAGCGAAACGCGGGCGGAAATGTTTAAGGGCGGTACCGTTCGATTGCATGATTCATGAATTTTCAGTAACCATCAGTCAGTTGACGGGTCAACAGGGCGCCCTCGTGGTGCAAGCGTTCTTTGAGAATAATAGTTCTTATGTCACTGTGCAACGTTTATTTCGAGTCAAATATGGATTCCGGCGTATTAATCAGTGCCCTAGTACTAATGAAGCAATGGTTGAGGAGGTTTCAAGAAACCGGTTCCACATTGCCAACAAGACGTCAAGGTCGCCCGCGGACAGTACGAACAGATCAAGGCATCGAGGAAGTGAGTGAATCTGTTTGAGTCGATCCCGAGCTCTCAACTCCTGGACGTTCAGCGACGATGAGTATTGCTCGCACGAGTTTGAGACGAATTTATGCAAATAGTGATTTGTTGTGCGTGGTAGGTTAATACTATTAAAATGCCGAAAGTGGTGAAGAACCGAAAGAGGAAGTGGTGGATAATGTTGATGAGAAGATAAGAGTTTTACGAAGAAAATTGGCAGATTTAGAAGCTACGCAGATTAAAAAAGATGGGACCAAGCGGTTCCGCCAGCATGATGAGATCACCGGCGAGGTTGTCAGGCACGACGATGTTGCCAAACCTGATGATAGATGCCGACACGACGATGTCGCCAAACCTGCTGTTAGACAAAGGCACGCTGATGTTGCCAAATCTCAAACATGTTTGGAGTCTGATAGTTCTAGTCGTCGTCCTGTTACGAGTCGTACGAGGTCTAAATCGCGAGAACACGAGGAGGATGTTCCGTATCAATCTTCGAATTTTAACGACCCTCCGAGTCAACAAAATAATGATGGAAAATATTCAAATGTAGATTCCGAGGAGGAAGCCTCGCTTGCATCATTGGCTCACATTTTAAGGCGGCAGTCCGCTTTGTTAGCCCATATAGGCGCGAGGACGTCGCCTTTACCCCTCAGACTCAGGATGAAGACTTTATTAGTGACCAGTTATCATGGGTCAGTGGCGATCCTAACTCTGATTGTGAGAGTGAAGCCAGCGCCTTGATCAAGCGGTATTATCCCTTTTTGGGAAAAATGTTGTTCAGTCATCAAACCTGAGTTCGCCAATCCAAAAGGACCTCTAAGAAATCTGGACCGGAATTTTACACAACGACGAAAGACAATAATTACTGAGGAAAATCCCTCACCCAGAGAATTGCATTTCCTTAGCTCTCCCTAAACTGATTCCCTTGGTGATCACTGCCTCTTCTGATTCAATAATTCAAAGAGACAATAGGTTGTGTGATATTCAGGCGCAGATTAGCGCGGCTATATCGGCTATTGGTTTGGCGGTTACTAACCTTTTGAAAAGGAAAAAGGAGCGGGATGTAGGAGCTATTCATCAACTGGGCGAAGCTGGGAGGCTGCTAACTGATTTATTTCATCAGGAGAAACTCTCGCGTCGAGAGCTAGCAGCACTGAACCTCAACAAAGGTCTGAAGGACACTTTTCTTAATGCGCCAACTGATGAATCGCTTTTTGGGAAAGACCTAGAAGACAGGGTTAGATCCCACAATAACCTTGCTCAATCCAGTAGAGATTTAAAAGAAAAAAGATTGCGATATACCAGGGCATCTTCCAGTTCATATCCTAATCGTCCTTTAAACCCCAACAGTTCGCCTCGAACAATCCAAGGGCTGCGACGAGGCGGACGCCCGCAATATCAGCAGCCTCGACGAGATCACAAAAGCCGGGACACAGGGTATTACAAGCAGGAGAAGCAAACAGAGTAGGCGAGACACCGTCAGTAGATTCTAAGGTTGGTAAAATCGCTGGTAGGTTCAGGCATTTTCATCAACCTTGATGGCATTTAACTAAAAACAAATGTGTTTTATCTTGGATTCAAGGTATTAAAATACCTTTTGCACGACCACCATGGCAGTTTAGTGCTCCGCGTGAACCTAAATGGTCCTTACGTGAGCAGAAGCAAATCCAAGATTCATTACATGACCTTCTTGAGAAACGCGCTATAACCAGAGTTAAACCTTGTAAAGGACAGTTTATATCTTAAATATATATATTATACTCCAGAATCAAGGTTCAATAAAAAAATTGAGCAAATCCGGGTTTCTATAGAACAATGCTTTGGATTATTAAAAAACAGATTTAGGTGCCTACTAAAAGACAGAGTTTTACATTATGCACCAGAAACTTGTGTAAAAATCGTAAACAGTTGTTCATTTTTTTGCACAGCTTATGCTTAGAAAACAGTATTCCATTATACAATGATCGTCGCGAACGGATTGGTCCGCGGGACGTAAAATTCGAGTTGCTAAACCCTCGGGTGGAGTGTCGAAATCGTACACGTTTCGAAAAATCGAAAATACACCGATATATATTGTGAGTTGTGGGGTTGCCATATTGCTTGGAAAAAAACAAAAGGTGGTTATAACCCCAACACCCGCATGTCACTTAGAGAAAAGGGTTGCACTCACGCTTTGGCACGAACGGGGTGGAACGGGAGATTATTATCTCCACAAGTACGTTCGCCCTGTGCACCATATCTGGATATCATTAGCAGCGCGGAACCAGCCGAGCTCCGCGACGATGACATCTGGAACCAGAAAGACGATACGACGACAGCGCGAGGTCCGCCCACGCTCCCTCAACGACGACGGCGTCGATGCAGTATGCCGAGATGAGGAGGTTGCAGGGAACAAGCATCGCTGTGAGGGTCAGGTCATAGGAGACTTGACTTCTCCAGTCCCACTCTGTCCGGCCACACAGGCCCAGGGTCAAGGTAGGTGCAGTGATATTGATCTCCATGTGACTTCTCCACCTGACGTTAATTCCGCGCCGGTGGTACAGACATTCAGCACGGCACCAGCTCTCGGTGCAAAATGGGGAGCCTTCCTCGACTGTCTTGCCGTCTCCTCCAACCAAGAGTCTCAAAACTTATTTGATCGTGTCGCCGATCCTAGAATCGACAACATAGATTCGAATCCGAATCTCCAGGTCGGCCTCCCTGGCGAGGATGCCGACGCGGTGCGACGTGCCGCGATCGCAAGCACGCGTTTTACACGCGATGCGATCGTGGGCGCGCACCCCCAAGCGACCAACAGCGTTGGTCAGAGATACCGAAACATCACCGTACAACTGAAGTGCGATGAAGCAAATACACGTTTCGATAGAAAGTGTACAGTGCGCGGGGATGTCGTGGTGGTATCTAAAAATCATAATATCGAAGGTAGACGTCAGCATGTCGCGAATCGCGCTCAGTTCCGAGCTTTCAACCGTTGCGAGTGTACACTTGTGGCACTGCGACCCACTGTGCGATCTTATTGCGATCTTAATCGCGATACGATTGCTATCTACGATGGCGAGAAGCTGACAAGCCAGCTAAAGCAGAAAGAAGATGCTTTCACCATGCTTGCAGAGCAGATGAAGAACCTGCAAGAAGCTTTCATGCAGGCAAAACAGGAGATAGAAGAAGTCAAAGGGAAGCTCCTCAAGGCGAAGAAGAAGACGAGGACCAGAATACCACATCGGACAATGAGATGGATGCCCAAGAAGTGGGCAGCCAGCAACAGGACGACACAGAATAAAAGAAGATGTCAGCCTACAATAGCGACACGGACTACAGTAACGTCACCAGGCGGAAGAAAAGAGTAAGGATTTCCTCCTCCGACGAAGACGATGCACCCAGGTAGCCATAGAAGCCAGCTGCCACCCAGAAGAAGAGTCATAGAGAAGCCAGGACCATCGTGGCCCCCATGTTAGGAACAGGAGTTCCTCCAATCAACATTGCGGGCACCGCTGATTGGTCATCCTGAAGCAGGATGATCAACAATAAGGGAATCCAATTCACTAAAGCGAGGACTGCAGGGAACAGTGTGAAGCTGTTTACCAACACACCGGCAGACTACCGTCAGCTAGTAACCCTGCTAGACTCAATGAAGGGGCCCTTCTTCACTTACCAACTGAAGGAGGAAAGGATGGACCAGAGGGTAATTCGAGGACTACCCAGAGAGATGTCAACTGAGGACATCAAAAAGGATCTAGTGAGACAAGGGATCGCAGACGCCGAGGTTCAACAGATGAAGACCAGAAACACCAAGCAGCAGCTACCGCTCGACCGAGCCCAGCCAATGCTACCGCTGCCAGCGGTACTGGCACACGCAGCGAAACTGCCGTCTCGCTGAACGGTGCGTCAAGTGTGGTGAGGACCACAGCAGCACCAACTGCAGTCTGTCGACGCCGCCAACAGGGCAAGGATGTAGTAAGGCCCCGAGGAAAGCTGTTTCTGCCCCCAAAGCAGTCCCCACCACAAATAGGAAGTTTAGTTTTGTGATGATGGAGTCCGATACAGCAGAAAATTCTGATCAAATGTAAGTTGCATAATATATTATAAGTAATCAGTAGCTGATATATTTTTAAAATCGTAGGGATCAACCCTTTACGTCGCGGGTCACAACTCCTATAAAAAAGAGGAAGATTCGGCATGAAATAAAACAAATATCCAATGAACAAAAGTTTAAAGTACAATGGTTGGAAGACCCTAAATTTGTAAATTGGTTAAAAAAACACCCTGGCAATGAAATCCTTTGTATATGTAGTACATGCGAATCAACTTTGAAATCTGGGAAATCCGAATTGGAGAAACATTTAGCAACTGAGAAACATAAAAAAAATCATATCAACAAAAGAGGTGTTATGTCACTAGACGCCTTTGTAGAAAAGAAGTCCGGACATTCTCAAAAAGTATCGGAGGCAGAAATCAAATTGTCCTCGTTTTTTGCCCACCACAACGCAACGTGGCTTTTCAAGGAGTGGATCATCTGATACCCATTCTAAAAGACAGTTTCCCGGATTCCAACATATTGAAGGATGTGAAATTGAGACGCACTAAAACGACAAGTGTGATAAAGAATGTCATTGCTAAGAAAGAAAGCAAAGATTTGGCCGTAGTTTTGCAACAAAACTTCTTCAGCGTACTTATTGATGAAAGCACCGATATATCGGCTAATAAACTTCTATGCGTGAATGTAAAATTTGTTAATAACAGCGGCTTAGCATGCGACCGATTGCTAAAAGTATTAAGTGTCGACGCTAAAAACGCTAACGCTGAAAATTTGTATACTGCCTTTCAAGAATGTTTAATATCTCAAAATATACCCATAAAAAATGTTACAGGTCTTGCTTGCGATAATGCTAGTGTAATGCTTGGCAAAAATAACTCATTTTTAACAAGGCTTCGTGCAGAGGTAAATGCCTTGATAGTCTTACCATGTATTTGCCATTCATCAGCACTAACTTGTTGCGAGCAGTGTCTGTTCAAAGTTGCCTCGAACACCGGAAGAATTTGTAAGAAGTACTGCTAGTTATTTTTCCTATTCTTCAAAAAGAACAGCTCAGCTTTCGATCCAGCATTCTGTACAAAGAGTTTTGGATAACTGGCTAGTACTTTTTCAGGTTGCTAAAGTTGAAGAAAATTCAAAATCTGTAGATTTCATATATGAAGAATTTAACAATCATTGCACTAAAGCAATCCTGTTATTTTTAAGCTATATTTTGAATTTTTTTAACACCTTCAATGCACTATTCCAGAGCAAGAAACTTTTAATTTATGATTTATCTTTTGAGTGCAAAAAAATTTTCAAGCAAGTGATTGCACATTATATAAAGCCCGAGTATTTAACTGATTTGAAGCTTAACTACACAAATCCACGATATTTTGTTGATTTAAAAGATCTAGATCTTGGTAATGAATGTAACGCTTTTGTTTTGAATTTGCCTGACAACGTTAGAAAATCAATTCAGAAGTCTTGCTTAGAGTTTTTGATAACTGCCGCAACGGAAATGCAATCAAGATTTCCTCTTTGTGATGATTTTTTTGATTCCCTTACATGTTTAAAGCCCCACATGGCCCTTAGTCTCGATAAACCTGAAAACATATTCTCATTAAAAAGTGCATGGAACAAATTTGCTTCTGTTATTGATGGAAACAAAGTTGACCGAGAGTGGAAAATATTGTTATAAATTTTTCAGATGAGGCTACATTAAAAGAACATTACTTAAACTTATCTGTAGAAGAATTCTGGTATAAACTGGGTAATAAGGTACCCGGGGGTAATAAGGCCCACCAGATATTAAGGCCCAACGCTGGTTTGCCCAAAGGAAAGCGCCTAAAATATTTATATCGCCATCTGTTAATAATATTTAGTATTACTGTTGCCGGAAATGTAATTTTGTTCTATGATTATGAGCTTCCTGGCTTATTCTATGGTGTCACGTTTAGTAGAACGCCACGCATCGGTCGGCAACAATGAACAGAATACAGCAAACAGTTCAAAGTGTTTTCGGCCAAACGTAATGAATTTGTGCATGTGGATATAACTTTTCAGGATTTTTAATACAATGTAAGTTATTTAATTATTTGTTTTGGCGTTTTTTGTTCATTTAACTTTACACGGCATGTGTACAAGTATCTTTTGGCATATTCACGACAAAATATTAATAAAGCGTTTCTATGCAAAGGTTATGTTTTGTTATGAGTAGCTTGTGGGGCAGAACGGTGTGAGACAGAACGGGTTGGGACCCCATTCTGCCCCTTATTATCAACGATCTCATTTTGATGCTTTGTGTTCCTTTCAGATGGTTCGCAATTATATTAGAAAGACCGATCGGCAACGGTGGAGTTCTGAAACTATGGAACGAGCTGTAGCTGCAGTAGTAAGTGGCGTAATGGGTTGCAAGAAAGCTTCAATTCAATTCCAGCTTCCACAAACTGCATTGGAAAGATACGTGAAAAAGCGTAGCACTGACCCAAATTCTGTGATTGATAAAACCGCTGGCAAATATCACTGTGTTTTTACTCAGGACCAAGAGGTAGAACTAGTTGTATATTTAAAGGATATGCAAACGAGATTGTTTTAACATTAAAAGAACTCAGAAAGCTAGCCTATCAATTAGCGGTTAGGAATGGTTGTGAGCATCCATTTAACAAAGATACAGAAATGGCGGGAGAAGACTGGGCCCACTCATTTATGAGGCGTCATTCAGAGTTAAGTTTGAGGAAGCCTGAGGCCACTTCTGGAGCACGTGCCATGGGATTTACCCGAGTAGCAGTCGCGCAGTTCTTTACATTATTAAATAAAGTTATTATTGAGAAAAAAATTACCTGTGAAGGAATTTATAATTGCGATGAGATTGGCATTACAGTGATTCCAAAGCAGCATTCAAGGGTTATTGCAAATAGAGGACATCGTCAGGTAGGCGTATTGACTTCTGCTGAGCGTGGCAATACAGTAACGGCAGAAATTTGTTGCTCTGCTGCAGGAAATTTCATGCCCCCCCCTGTTGATTTTCCCGCGACAAAAGAAGAGACAAGAATTTGAATTGGGCTTGCCACCTGGAGCTTGGATTGCGGCAAATGACTCTGGATGGATGACTATGGAAGTGTTTTTCGAATGGTTCAAGAAGTTTATTAAATTTTCTGGTGCAAAAAAGAAACTCCCGTGCTCTTACTATTTGATGGACATGCATCTCATACGAAAAACATCGATGTAATAGATCTGGCTCGAGATAATGGCGTTATTTTATTATATTTCCCACCGCACTGTTCGCACAGGCTCCAGCCTCTAGATGTGGCATTTATGAGACCTTTAAGTCTATACTACGATACACAGGGCACAATCTTTGTTAGATGAATTTAATCAAATCCAAGATGACATTGAGATTTTCATAGAAGATTTAGAACCCGAGTTCCTCGAGCGAGAACAGTTTGAAAATACATTTCATACAGTGGTTGCGAAAGCCACACAGTATTTGAAAAAATATGACGACAATCAGTCCTCGTTTCGGCGGCGGCGGCAACTCTCCCACTTTGTTCATACGAGGGGCGATGCAATTGTACCGCAGGTACAGTCGATCTCTACAAATGATGTCGATTCAATAAAACTGCCCACTATAAGCATGCCTCGTTTTTCAGTCGCCATTGAGGACTGGATTGAATTTCTCGATGGATGTGAATCTCTTAGCAACGTTTCACATATCTGAAAGCGGCTTTGTCGGGTTCCGCTTTAGATGTTATCGCTTTGATCAAAGTCTGCAATGACAATTTCTCAGTTGTATGGCGCAGTCGATGTGGCAGTTATTCAGACATAAGAATTTTAGCTCACGAACATATAGGCTCTTCACGCTATTCTGTCAACAAGTAAGGAATCTTCAGGTGGTTTAACCCTAGAATAGTAACCTTAATTTTCAATTCGTTAATACAAACCTTCGAAGGCGCTCTTAAACTAACACACATCCAATGGATATCAAACTCTTTCGTACACAGTAGGTACTACCTGAGAACTGTGTAACACTGGCTCAACAGATGACTAGACGACAGCCCAGCGCAAATAGTTGTACTGCGACGATAAAATCGCGAGCAAAAGAACAATAGCGTCGTAAAATTTACGATGGTTAGTATTATAGAGTTAACCCGTAACTGGTGAGGTTGAGTGTGAAAGTTTTAGTACGCCTCTGGCAACATATGCTGACACCCAGTGCGCTGCTGTTGCAGGTACCCAGGTACTACTACCGTCCTTTATAAAGGCATTGCGATTCAAGGATTCTGTAAGGAGTTTCAGTAATTGGACAGAAGGTGTCGCCACCATGCTCTGTCAAAGAACATTAGGACTACTACACCACCAATTACTACACTTTAGTTGCATGCGTATCGCTTGAGCCATATACCGACATTTATACAGTGTGCTTCTACAAGTAGTGATCATGTAAATTACGGCACTGCTATGATGATGATCTAATATGTAGAGTTGCTTAGGTTTGCACTTTTCGATTCCTTTGTTCTAGCGTAGGTTATAAGTAAGAGATGCATGTAAACCAAGGTGACCAGTACTCTTTCGTCTTCTGTTAAATAAAGTCGCTTTTTTAAAAGGTCGTTCGTTGTTTGCACATTCTTAATTGGCGCTGCGAACAGGATATCGGCGTACCGAATCGATAATAGGCGGTATTGATTCACGAGTATCGCTCAATCGAGACCGAAAAAGTGCCAAAAATCGACCGGTGTGTTCGGGTACGATTTCAATCGTTTTGACGTCGATCACAAAGAACTTCGAAGGCTACACCGAGCAGGCACATCACCATCGAAGTACCAGGCCGAAATACTTGCTAAGTATTTTGGGAGCAGGCAACGACACTTGAGAAAACGACAGGAACTGACAGGAGCGAGTTGCTGGATCCACGACAGGCAAGCTGTCAACCAGGAGGAGCTGTATTGGCCCAAGGAGGTATCTCAGATCTCTCCAAATGAAGCTGCTAGTTGCCCAGTGTAGCGTAAGAAACAACATTTACAATTTTTGCTGTACTCTGTGATTTTTCCATTTATTTCTCGAAACTTTTTCGCCCTATATTGGTTTACATTTATATATACTCGTAAAAGCTATCTATAAGTAAACTTATTTAGTGACTTTAATTGCATATATTTAATGTCCGATTCTGAATTTGAATCTGTAGTCGAAAATACACCTGTTAGACAAGTTATTTTGACACCCTCACGTCTTAATTTTAATCAGTCAACCATGTCTCTTCAAGATTTACAAATTAAATTCAATGTAGCTAAATATATGGTACCAGAATATCATGGAGGTCACAGAGATCTAATTTATTTTTTGGATAATTCAGAAAAGTTTATTGCAGAATTTGTTAATACACCTTTTGTTTCGTATGCTTTCCAATACGTTATTTCTCAGCTGAAAAGCGAAGTAAGAGATGCATGTAAACCAAGGTGACCAGTACTCATTCGTCTTCTGTTAAATAAAGTAGCTTTTTTAAAAAGTCGTTCGTTGTTTGCACATTCTTAATTTGTATGAGTGGAGGTAAGTTTTCTTTATAATTGTACTTATGAATATCTGTACTATTTATGGTTTTCAGATATTACTGATACAGAAAAGTCTACATTATCCTATAGAGGAAAGTGCCCGAATATCGCACAGATGCTCAATATCGCACACTGGGCGTTTTCTCTTACTAATACGATTAGACCATACTAGTCTGTAGTTTTAGCTTCATGGCACCGACAAAAGATGTCATATTAAGTCCAGTAGGTCTGAGAACAAGTAGATGGCATTAGCGCTGAAAAACGTGCAGTTGGTAGAACACGAGTATTTAACGGTGTCCGATATTTGTGGATTTTTTTTGTAAAAGCGGTAAGTGAAAAAATGTAATTTATCTGTACCTGTTATTTAAAAACTGTCATCTTCATTTTATTTCATTGAGAATATGAGATAACTTTTTACAAATATTGTTTTTCATCACTCTAACCTAAAAGTAACATGTGCCCTAATATCGCACAACAAGGGGGTCCTAATATCGCAGTGAACGATATTAGGTACCCTCAAAGAATAAAAAAGTAACTATTTGTTTTTATTCCAGATAAAATGAATTCTCAAAACAAACGGAAAAAATGGCTCAAGGAATCAATGTTGGCTGCAGTAAAAGCTATTAAAAATAATGAAATGGGGTATCTGAAAGCATCAAAAATATTTAATGTCCCCAAAAGTACATTAAAGGATTATATAAAAAATACAAATAAAACTCCGGAGGAGTTGATTAGTATGAGCGTGGGCAGAAAGACGACACTACCAGAAGAAATGGAAACCCAATTGGTAACATACTGTTTAGAAATGGACAAACGTTTCTATAGTTTGACTTCTTCAGACGTACGAAGAATGGCATTTCAACTTGCATTGAGAAATAATATACCTAATCCATTTTCACGTGAAAAAGGTGTAGCTGGAAAAAATGGCTTAGAAGATTTCTTGACCGACACCCCAAATTGGCATTCAGAAAACCACAGAGCATTTCTTCTGCAAGGATTAAAGGATTTACTCCAGAGAACGTGAAGATATTTTATGATATTTTAGAACCTGCTTTGCAAAAAATTTGTCATAACCCTGCTGAAATATTTAATGTTGATGAAACCGGAATAACCTACGTACAGTCGAAGCATTCCAGAGTAATCTCGCTGAAAGGCAAAAGACAGGTTAATTCTATCACTGCGGCCGAGAGGGGTTCACTCGTAACAATGGTGACTTGCATGAATGCTGCTGGGGGGTTCGTACCTCCGATGCTCATTTTTCCAAGGAAAAACATGAAGGCAGAGCTTCTCGACGGTGCGCCACCGGGGACGATAGCAGGATGCCATCCATCGGGTAGGATTCAACAAGCTTTATTCACTGACTGGCTACGTCATTTCATCAAACACACAAATCCATCAGTTGATTACAAAGTCGTATTAATACTTGACGGACACTACTCTCATACGCGAAACTTGGATGTCATTGAGATTGCTAGAACCCATGGTGTGATAATTATCAGTCTTCCACCCCACTCGACCCATAAAATGCAGCCACTGGATCTGGCATTTATGAGTCCATTTAAAACTTACTATTTCCAGGAGATTGAAACATGGCTAAAAAATCATATTGGTAGACCTTTTTCAGTTTACCAGATAGGCCAATTATTAGGTAAAGCATACTTAAAAGCCGCCGCTGCGGAAGTATCCGTTAATGGGTTCAGGAAAAGTGGCATTTTTCCTTTCAACCCATTTATTTTCCATGATCACGACTTTGCCATTCACAGACAACATGAAGCTACACCTCCACCTTCAACAGAGAATGATAACACTCCAGATCCAGAACAAATTACACCACCACACCATGTCTACATAGGTCCTGAAAGCATAATTCCACTACCATCAGCCAGTGGAGCATATAAAACAGTCTCAAATAATAAGCCCAGAACAGGTTCAGCAAAAGTAATAACCAGTACACCATATAAGGAGGATTTAGAAAAAAGTGTTGCAGAATTAAATAAAAAAAAGGCTGTAAAAAAGAATGTATTGTCTTCAAACTATGGAGCTGTTGGACATAAAACTAAAAGTTATCTATGCTCAACATTAAACGTGGAGGATATACGAAAATTCTATACATCATTTTATTCAGTACCAAAAAAGATTGTCCAAGATAATTTTTTGCTGAAATATGTTTCTACATTGCCGATTAGAAGGAAAAGGAATCTTAACTCAGACAGACCTCGCACCACAGACTACTAATTAGTAGTAAAACAAAATGAATGTTCAAGAATAATTGGTAAGAAATATTTAAAAAAAGACTGCTTTTATGATATACCATGTAATTCATCTGATATTAATATTTTCACTGTTGATGATACAAATTTGGGACCTTCTCAGTATTTCAATGTTGCTGATGTAGAATATAAGTATTTGAAATTAAAATTTAATCATCAATATGTTATTATGCCTCTCTTGCATTGTAAATAAGTATGTGCCTTGAAGCCTGCTTTCAAAGAAAAGTAACTTATTTTTATT